CGATGGTGCCTCACCGACCGCGACAACCAGGCCTCGTGTTACGCATCGCCATCCGCACCTTCGCTTCCGCAGACGCTCAGCCGGATCGTCGTTAGCTTCCGCAGACCGACTTCCGAGCGGGCGCGTTCTAGGTGTGACGCTCGGTCACACACCCAACTCACCAGGGTAAGCTAAGACTGGCTTGAGCCCTCCGCCGAGCGCGTGTGACCACCGCCCGGCGGCCCGCGGTACGATTCGGTCCTGCCACCTCTCGACCCGGTTCCCGTACTGTAGGTGAATTATTGCGGTTTCGCCGATCGCCTCCGCCCTCTCCGCCGCCGTCGTCGCCCGCCGTCGCCTCCGCCCTCGCCGTCGCACCCTCACCGCTGCCGCCGTCGGCCTCGCCCTCCCCGCCGCCGTCGGTCTTGCCGTCGCCGCCTCCGTCCGTGTCGCTGTCGCCGTCTCCGCCGTCGGTCTCCTCGCCTTCGCCGTCCGTGTCGCTCCCGCCGTCCGTGTCGCCGTCGCCGCCCGGCCCCGCCGTCGGTCTCGACTTCGCCGCGCCTCCGTGCTCCGTGTCGCCGTCGCCGCCTCCGTCCGTGTCGCCGTGTCGCCGCTGCCTTCTTCCGTCTCGCCCTCCCCGCCGCCGGTCTCGCCTTTGCCGCCTCTGTCCATGTGTCGCCGTCGCCGCCGTCGGTCTCGCTACCTTTCGCCGCCTCCGTCCTTGTCGCTGTCGCCGCCGCCGCCGTTGGAATCGCTCTCCCCGCCGCCGTTCGTGTCGCTTTCGCCGCCTCCGTCCGTGTCGCCGTCGCCGCTGCCTTCCTCCGTCTCGCCCTCCCCGCCGCCGGTCTCGCCTGCCGTCGCCGTCGCCGCCGTCGGTCTCGCTTTCGCCGCCTCCGCCGTCGGTTTCGCCTTTGCCGCCTGCTCCGTCCGTGTCGCCGTCGCCGCCGTCACGATTCGGCGTACACACAGTTTGCACATCTGCAAGTTCTTCTTGATGTACACGGCGGTCCCGGTAATTAGCGGGCGACTCAAGGCATCGACGCTCTCGCCGAAGCCCCTGAGCTTGCCGCCGTTTATTCGGCGCAATGGCCGGCGTTAAGCTCGAACCCGGGCGCAGCCGAGGCCGTTTCTTTCAGAGACAAGTCTGCGCTCCGAGAGGCGACCGGGGGGCGCCCTGCGACCAACCTTTTTCACTTAACAGTACTGGCCGGGGTTTCGAAGATAGTGCTAAAATGGATATCTGGAGGAGAATGGCATCTAATTTCGCGGACCTGCCCGACCCGTTTAACAATCTTCTACGGCTGTTGCTGCTTAATGTGCATGTGGCTCTACGTCAGCCGTCCCGGGCAATTTGTGACCCGTCTACGGCCGTTGGCTGCCCCGCTGCGCGTTCGTTCGCAGTAATCTGGCTTAGTTCAGAGAGGTCGGGGCGTCTCTATGCTTGTCACAGCGCGGCGCTGGCCTGCACATGGCGGGCATGTAGTCGAATCAATCACAATCAATCATTCATCCGCCCGACATTGCACCGGATTTTGATATTAGTGGCAAAAGTGCGGAACCGAAAATGGCGTTTAATTTCGCGCACCTGCTGTCCGCCGCCTGCGGCGGCGCTGCGCGCCACGCAAGGCGCCTGCGGCCCCATGTCTGCCTTTTTTTGTTGTGGGGCAGCACGGAAAAATTACCGATTTTCGTAACAATCGCCTCGCCGCTCCACAATGCCTTTCTCCGTTGCCTCCAGCCGCGCGGCGCCATCGTCCTCGATCCAGTGCCGGCCTGTGACAAGCTTGGCAGCTCGCGGATCGATGATCGCCACGAGCTGCTGCCCGGCGACCGCCGCTCGCCTTCGACGACAGTCGTAACAATCGGCGGTGAGCGGCACCTCCTTGGCCCAGCACCGGTGTTATCACGTCTCAGCTGCTTCATTGCCATGTCCAGTTATGGCGGAGACGCGCTGATAGCATTCCTGTGCACGCAGTTGGACCTGCACGGCCATCGGGTGCGTGGCGCAAAAAGACCTGTTTGCGCTGTCTTCGATACAGCGGCTACATGCGCTGCTGCGCGTGCCTGTGACGCACACATGTTGATCACATCCATATACCTCACTAACATACAGCTGGCGAGCCTTGCACCCCTCGTCTGGCCATGCTGTGTATCATCTCACCGTATGCAGCCGTATACGCCCACGGTGCTCACAAGGTCGGGCGTCACGGTGCTCGTGGCAAGCATCTCCGTCACTCTTGTGACTTGTGGGCTTGGTGGTGTTGCCTCCGGTGCTACTGCTGGCTAGGGTGCCAATGGCGCGACGGGAGGCGGCCATTCATTGGCGCCACTACAGCCAGGAACTGGCGCGACCTCGCCGTGGAGCTCGCCAAAGAGGGCTCCGCGGGATCGCGGTCTGCTCCTCGCGGCAAGAAGGGCAAGGCGCAGGCCAAGGGCAGGGAGCGGGCGAAGCATGCGGCTTGGCGGGAGGCAGTCCGCTTCGTGGCGGTGAGCCAGGATGGCGCCGGCGCCTTCCTCAACGCCATCCCCATGCGGGATGATATGCGAATGGAGACTTGGGCGATGCGGATCTCGGTGCAGCGCCGCCTGGGTCTCCCCCTCAACGTGGCCTGCCAGGCCGCGGCGGCGGGCAAGAAGACTCGGAATGGGAAGACCCACGACGAGTATGGCGACGCTGCTGTCAACGTTACGTACCGCAGCAGGGCCACAACACCAGACACAAGTACACGCTTCGACGCCTCATCCTCGCCCTACGCGCCGCGTGGGGCACCGCTGTGCGAATGGAGCCGAAAGCCCACCTCGGTCAGAGTTACAACAAACAACCCGACGTGAACGCGGACAACATTGGCAAGGACGGCACGCACTATTGGGCCCTACTGCGAGGAGGGGGAGGGGGGGAGGGGGGGGGAGGGAGAGGGGGGGGGAGAGGAGATGGGGGGGGGAGGGGGAGGGGTACGGGGGGGGCGGCATGGAGGGGGAGAGGAAGAGCAAGGGCGAGAGAGGGCAAGGAACTGGGCGCTGGCATACCAGGGGGGGCAGGGTGGTGGGCGGCGACCGCCGCATACCGTCCTACGGCGGGGACTATCGCTACGCCAGGGAAGACAAGGGCGTCGAAGTGCAGCTGCTGCTGTTCGAATCGTTCGGCGGGTTCGGAAAGGGGGTCCGTGAGATCCTCCGGAAGGCGGCGAACGTGCTACAGAACAAGCTGACGCGGGCCCAGTACCTCGATGAGGTGACTTGGACCACCAAGAGCTGGCTGGGGCTGCAGAAGCAGCGCATCTCAGTCGTTCTTCACTCACACGGCCATCGCAGAGCAGGTCGTGAATGAGCTTGCCTGTGGCGGGGGTGGGCGGGTGCACGGAGCTAAGTGCCTCGCCACCCTCGCAGGAGTCGCTTAGGCGGCTCCCGTGGTGTACCTGTCGTGCAAGCCCCGCAGAGGTGCGGGCGAGAGGGCGGCCCGAGCCCGAAAGGGCCCGCCCTCGACCTTGCTCTACATGGTAACGGATAAGAAGAGAAACACCCCCGGACCGGGACGCCGGCGGTCGAGTCGGGACACGCTGTGGTTCAGACGTCCCCCCCCTCGACGCAGTCGAGTGACTGACATGAATAGGGAGGAGAAAGTGTCCCCCACATATCACCACAGACGCAGCACAGGGGCTCCAATCCTGTCCGCCGGGGCCTCGGCTAGATCTCCAGTGGGGAGTGCGAGGGCTGGATCGACTGCAGCGAGAGTGTGGGTTGTGGACCGTCGGGATAGCGTGTGGCGTAGATGTTCTCCTGGAAGTAGAGAGGCTGATGTCTCTCGCCCTGCAGGAAGGAGAAACTCGGACGGCAGAGTGAAAACTCCTCCCTGCGGCATGTGCGCAGAACGGGTTGCGCAATGTGCGGCATCGTGTTGAGGGCTCGGGAGGGCAACGACGGCAGCGTTGCCGAGCTTGTACAGGGGCCTCAATCCTGTCCCCGATGGGGTGCGCCTCTCGCCGCGCGCGTAGCAGTCGGCGCGCGGGTAGCCTCAGAGATGCGCAGAGCGAGATGCGGTTATCAGCAAACCAAGCCCTGGGCTTGGATGGGCGCGGCGAAGCCGCGGCGCAGTGGATAGCGTGAAGAACTCGAGATCGCTGGGATCTTGAGCCGCCGCTGCCACGTGCAAGCCCCGCAGAGGTGCGGGCGAGAGGGCGGCCCGAGCCCGAAAGGGCCCGCCCTCGACCTTGCTCTACATGGTAACGGATAAGAAGAGAAACACCCCCGGACCGGGACGCCGGCGGTCGAGTCGGGACACGCTGTGGTTCAGACGCCTGTGTTAGTGCCAGTGCGCGCCAGTCCCGTGCCCAGTGTTGTGCGACGGAGTTCTGTTGTAAAATTCTTTTGAGCTAAGTGCACCGACCGCCCCCGATCGGGAGTGGTGCAGTTCATAGGCGGGGGTGGTGCACGGGGGCGTGCCCCCGGAGCACCGCTCCGGTGTCGGGAGGGGGCCGGGGGGGCTTTCCCACGGGGGCTGCCTTCCCAGGAGCCGGACACATCTTCCCGAGCTAAAAATTCTTCATCACGATGAAGGTGGCTTGACGAAATGGATGACGCCGTCGCGCAACATGACATCCTCGCTGTCGTCGTCCTCTAGGCGACGCGCAGCGCCGCTTTCGCAGGCTGTTTTTGACGGTTTCTACACTTTGTTTTTGTTTTCAGTCTAGGGGGCCCGACCCCCTCACGCCTCAGAGGCGGCGGGTGGGCGCCCACTCACCGAGATATCAAAAACGCTCGGCCCGGGACAGGGTGGTAGCTGTTCTCTCTATCTCCCCTTCTACCTCTTAGCATGAGCTGCGCCCTGTGTGTGTGTCCCAGTGTCCGACCCCTGTTGCGGCGCAACACCTTAAACTTTTACGTTTTAGGCCCTCCTGCCTCCAAATTCGGGTCGGTCGGAGCGTAGCGGAGTGAGTGGGCCCCGAGTTTGAAAAAGGGCGACGGACACGCTTGCGTCCTAGCCTCCAACAACGCCTCCCCGGCGCAGAGGGGCCCCCGGAGGGATGCTCAACCGCTCCACGCCACGCCGGTTTACGGCCGCCATCGAAAATTCTTTATCGCGCCGACAGCCCACGATCGGCTGCTTCGCTCCCCCGGGTCTGATGATCTACATCCTCCTATCATCAAGCGTCCTGTCCTTTGGCCTCGTCCCTGCGATTACGAGATCGAGCCGGCTCAGACGACTGCGCCCTGTGTGCGACGTTTATGCATCGGTCAGCGATCGCGAGGTTGCCGAGTTGCTGTGCGATGCATCCGCCGACGATTGCGACGTGGCCGAGTTGGAGCAACGGCCGATGAGGCTGCCGCCTCCGCGCACTCCTACCCGCGCGGGCTACGTGGCGGACCCTTCCCTCGTGAGCTGGGCTCCCTTTACATACGCGGAGCCGTATGTGCGGCGGTCTGCTGCACGCGATTACGCAAGAACCACCCTCTCGAAGCTGCCACCGCTGCCGCCCCTCCGGGTTGTACTCATGGGTGGCGTAGCGGCCGGCAAAGGAACCATCGCGCCGATGCTCTCGCAGGCCTTTCGGGTGCGCTGCATCGGCGTCGGCGAGCTGCTCCGCGGCGAGACGCGGGCGCGGCGGGCCCGCGGCGTGGAGGTGCGCGGCGGACCGCGAGCCCTCCTCCTATTCGTCCCTTCACCTCGCCCCCATTGAGCAGGCATCGCATGTCATGGCTGCTGGCGTGCTCCTCCCCGACGAGCTGGTGCTGCAGCTCCTCGGGGAGCGGCTCGGCGGCGGCACGGACGCGTCGCGCAACGGCTGGCTCCTGGACGGCTTCCCGAGAACAACGTCTCAGGAGAGAGAGAGAGCGAGCCTCTCCCTCCTGCTGGCCCACATCATCCCTGCTTCGCTCCTGGGCCTCGCTCCCCCGCCCCTGCCGCGTCGCGCCGGCGGCGCTGCGGTGAGCCTCCCAATGCGACCTTCGCCCTCCGCCCGCCGCCCTCCTAGGCGGAGGCGTTGGTCGGCGGTAGCTGGGCCGAGCTGCGGCCGGACGCGGTCGTGTTGGTGGAGCGGCCAGACGAGCTGGCGCGAGAATTTGCGCTCGGCCGCTGCTGCGATTCGGCGACGGGGCAGACGTACCACCCAGTCTACGCGCCCGCGCCCGCCGAGATCTGCGAGCGGCTCGTGTGGCGCGTCGACGACACGAGCGACGCGCTCAACCGGCGCCTCTCGGACCACAAGCGGTCAGTCGAGGCGATCGTGGGCGTTTTCGAGAGCGCGGGCATACCGCTGCGCCGCTTCGACAACGCGCGCAGCGAGCTCGAGACGTTCGGCGAAGTTGCGGACTTCCTCCGGAGTGTGGCCATGGGGAAGCTCGAGGCTGCGCGCAGCGATTTGGCGGGCGGGAGGGGGAGGAAGATGAGCTTGGATGAGGTGGGGGCCGCGATGCAGCCTTCGCCGGCGGACCCGGCCGACGTGGCGCCCTACTGCTTCCTCGACGAGGACGAGGAGGAGTGCCTCTCTCGCTTCCAGCGCGAGCGGCGGCGCAGCGCGCCCGACGACGTCGACGCATTTTGCGGCGCCGGCGAGTCAGAGGGCGAGTGCGTCATCCGGTGAGGGGCACTGCCCAGACGCTTCCGAGACGCTTCCGAGACGCTTCCGAGACACCTCCAGCTCTCCCCTCTTCCCTGTTGGGCCCCGCTGCCCCGCCCCCAATCGACGGGCCTGACCCTCCAGCGGCCGCTCCGCTCGCGCCGCGACGCTGCCTCGTCCAATCGCGGGCGCTGCGACACGTCCGCAGGTACAAGGAGGAGGCGGGGCGTGGGGAGCTCTTGGCGGCGGTGCAGCGGTGCAACTCGTACGCGCTTCGCGAGTTCACGCCGCTGCTGGTCGGCGACGAGCAGGTCGGCTGGCTCAACCCGACAGTTCTCGAGGTGCACCTCCCCATACCCCTCCCCCACACCCGCCCACCCACCGTCAACGTGCTTCACCTTCCAGGCATCACAAAGCTCAGCCTTCCCCAGGCGCTCACCACGCAGCTCGCCGTCGGCCGCGCGTGCGAGCTCGTCGAGGCGAGCATGCTGCGCAGCGAGGCGGCCGCGGCGGCCGCCGGCCAGTGCGAGAACGGGTTCGCCGTGCGGATCGCTCCCGGCGCGAGCGGCGCCAAGGAGCGGTCGGAGTTTGCGGCCGCGCTTGTGGAGGAGAGTCCGCAGACGACGGGGGGTCGCTTCGGCGCTCCATGATGGCAGCCACGTGCGACCCATAGGAGCTAGTGGAGGACGGCGTCATCCCGCGCTCCAAGCTGCGGCACGAGCTGCAGGACGTGCACCCCTTCTCGGCCGGATTCGTCGCCGCGGGCGGCGGCGTGGCGCCGGTGCTCCGCATGGAGCGCGCCTCGATGATCTATTTTGGAGTGCCGTCCTACGGTGTGCACGTGAATGGGTGGGTGCGCGACCCGAGGCGGCCTTCCTCGCGCGAGCCCTCTGCGATGTGGGTCGCGACGCGCTCCATGTCCAAGGCGACCTACCCCGGGCTGCTCGACCAGATGGTCGCCGGCGGCCAGCCCACGGCCCTCACGTTCGACGAGAACGTGCGCAAGGAGTGCGAGGAGGAGGCGAGTCTACCGCCGGAGGTGATCGCCGCCATCGAGCCGGCCGGGTCAGTGTCGTATCGGTATGCGACGCCCAAGGGACTGTCGACCAAGGTGCGATCTGGTCCCTCTCTCCGCCTTCTCCTCCCTTGTCAATCCTTCTGAACCCTTGTCGCTCCTTCTCACTCCCTGCTCTCTACGCAAGGTGCTGATGACCCACGACGTCGAGATGCCGCAGGGGCTGCAGGTCGCCACTTACCGACACGTCATGGACACTCCCCAGACAACCCCTGGACTTTCCTCACCTCCTCTGCCCTTCGAGTGGGGCTCCTGCCCATCTGGAGGACGTGGAGATGCGGCGATGGCCCACCCTTGGCCCACACTAGCGCGTCGCTCACCTTGCGCTCACGTCCCGCTTTCAGCCTTTATGCTCCGACGGCGAGGTGGAGCAGTTCCGCCTCCTGCCCATCGCCGAGGTCCTGCGCTCGCTGCGGGAGGATTTGCCGGTGTGGAAGCCAAACTCTGCGCTCGTCGCGATTGACTTTCTCGTTCGGCATCGCCTCGTGAGCGAGTCGGAGCCAGGTTACGCCGAGCTCGTCCGGCTGCTTCGTCAGAGAGTGTCGTAAAGCCCTGCACGACGCTCTCGCGGGGGGATCCTCGGTCGCTCCTCGCTGTCCCTGCGGTCGAGCCTGCGAGATACCAGATACGTATAACGCGGCGCGCGGGCCCCGCTCTCTAGCTCTCTTCTGTTTTCAGGCGTCGCGTGCACCCCAGACGCAGTGACAAAATATGATAAAACATTTGAGAGCCACATTGGTCCTCACAGTTTACGTCTCTGTTCCACTATCCACATATCTGGACATGTTGAATTCTATATTTCTAAAAAAAGATAAGTGCGGCTTGCAAGCTTCGCCGGCGGCAAGTGCATTAGCCCTGCATTGGCCCCTCCGCTCCTACCCGCCGCGGCGCTGATGCTGCGCCGGCGCCGCCAGGGTGCGACGCCTGGTCTTGGGTGTGGGGTGGGGGGGGGGGGGGGCAGCGGCCCTTCATCGCGGCCTCGCGCGGTCCGGATCGATGCCGCGCGCGCGCAGCTGGTCTCGGATCGAGTCCGAAGTTGCAAAGTCCTTCGCGCGCTTCGCCTCCAGCCACCGGTCCAGCTGTGCCTCGGTTGCGGCGTCGTACTCTTGCCGTGGCCGCTTGGCGCCCGCCGCCGGGCCCTGGGCGAAACCGCCGCCGTACCCCCCTATCGGAGGGCCTCCGTACCCTCCAGGGTAGCCGTACCCGCCGGGTGGGGGGCCCCCGTAGGGCGGCGGCGGCCTGTAGCCGTACCCGCCGCCGCCGTACCCGCCGCCGCCGTACCCGCCGCCGTAGCCGCCGCCACTGCCGCCGCCGCCGCCGCCGCCCTGAGGGAACACCTATGTGGCGAAAGGGGAGTGACGCCACCGTTGTTGAGGGAGACTCGGTGGCACGGGTGCCACGCACGTCGCGCGGACGGGCGCGGTCCGGATCGACCCCCGCGGCGCGTAGCTTCTCGCGGATTGCGTCGGCCGTCACAAAGTCTTTCGCACGTTTAGCGTTGACCCACTTGTCGAGCTCCACGTCCACGTTGATCCCGCTGGAGGAAGAGGTGCCCCTCTGGTCGGCAGGCAGGAGGGCAAGCACGCGCTCGCAGAGCTCGCGCGCCGCAGCTGCAGCCGAAGGCTCCGACAGCACCGCCGAACCAGCATCCTCGCACGCCTCGGCCGCAGAGCGGAGCATGCCGATGCAGGAGGGCTCGCTGGGCGCGGCGGCGGGCGAGCTGTCCGGCGCGGGGGCGTGCAGCGTGTGCGCGTCGGTATCGGCGGACTGAGGCGGCGAGGCGTCCGTCGCGGGGGCACTCTGAGCTGGCGTCTCCATGGTGACCCTGAAAATAACGTGGGATTTTGTTGTCAGTAAGCGCGGGTGTGCCTTGTTCCACCGGGTTAAGCCACACTAAAATTTAGCCCGCGCTAACCCGCGCTTACCGAAGGACTCACTAACGTGTGGGCTACTCGCAGCGGCGCTGTGGGAATAGGATCGCGGGTGGCGTGGAGCGGTTGAGCATCCCTCTGGGGTATAGGCTCGCAGGAGCCGTCCGTCGCCCGTTTCAAACTCGGGGCCCACTCCGCTACGCTCCGACCCAAATTTGGAGGGCCGCCTAAAAGTTTAAGGTGTTGCTAGTGTTGCTGCGCAAAAGGTAGGGAAGCTAGTAGGGTGCCCACAGGCTCCAGCTCAGGTCAGAGGGCCCAGCCACTCGTCGGTTGGGTGTAAACAAGCATCCCCGAGTGGCTTCAAACCAAACAGGGTGTGAATAGAGCTGTCTTGATGGTGCTGAGGACGAAGCCACCTCAAACTTTGATGAAGCCGCGAGTTTTGACCGCGCAAGATAAAAGGGTGGCTAAGGGCTCTGCCCGCAAGGCGCCCGCGTCGCAGACGCGGTACCATTGACAAATCTGCGATATACCCCCACACGAGCAAATAGCAAAATCCGAATACCGTGCACGAACTGCGTGATGTGGGCCGTGCAAGCCTTCAGCTGGTGCCAACACGGATGGATTTGCCGACGGGCAAGCGTCTCATTGGCGCCCCCCCCCCCCCCCTAAGCAGCCCGTCGATGCAGGTGGCCCGCGCGGCCACGGCCGCAACGACGCGTCGCCGGCGGCGCTCACTCGAGCCCGAGCCCTCCGCGACGGCAACGCCAGGTCGTCGCGTCCGCCCCGCCAGCCCTTGAGCACGCCTCCCGCATACCGATGACTGCACTCGGCGTCCACCGGCGGGGGACCATGGAGGAGCGGTCAGCAGTCTCGACTGCTCCACCGGCTCCTCCACAGGCTCTCGCCGTCGGCCCCGGCGCGCTGCGACGGCGCGCCGCCGGCTCCCACCGCGGCGTCCGAGCTGGAGGGAAAGGTGACGCACCTGATGGAGCTGCTCAAGGCGCATCAGTCGCGGGACGCGGAGGCGTCGCGGCTGCAGCAAGCGCTGCAGTGCCAGGAGGAGGCGGACGCCGCCAAGCTCGTCGAGCTGATGCGACGGCAGGAGGCGGCGAGCGCGGCGGCGGTCGAGGAGGCCAAGGCTGCGATCGAGGCGCAGCTGGTCGAGCGATTCCGCGAGGAGCAGGCGGCGGCGGCGGAGGCGCACTCAGCGCAGCTGCAGCAGCTGAGCGCGGAGCACTCGACGCAGCTGCAGCAGGCAGCGGCCCTCCTGGAGGCGCAGGCGCGCGAGAAGTTTGAGACGGCGGTCGCGCACGAGAGGGTGATTGGAGCAGGCGGTGCTCGCAGAGAGGCTGGTGAGCGGAACCTCTCCCCTCCCGCCTCCCCGCCCGCCTTCCCTCCCGCCTCCCGCCTCGACTCCCCTGCCTCACTCCTCCCGACCCATCCCTCACTCCTCACTCCGCCCGCCTCTCCTCTCCCCTCCCTCCTCCCCTCCTCCCCTCCCCCTCCCCTCTCCTCCTCCCCTCCCCCCCTCCCCATTCCCCCTTCCTCTCGCCTCGCGCCCAGCCCAGCCCCGCCACCTCACCGCCCTCCCAGGCGTATCTCTCCGCCCTCAAGCAGCTCGAGCTCGACGTCGACGTGCTCACACGCGTCCTGGCGCCTACTGTATACTTGATGCAGAGCTTTCCGACGTCATTGTGTTTGCCGCTCCGCGCTCGACGCCTGCCTGTGACGGCGGAGTTGACGCCTCCGACGGTCGTAGCGGCGTGGCTGAGGGCGGCGGTGGAGGCGCCCGATAGCGCGGTGAGGATGGTCTCATGGGTCTAGCAAACCATAGACGACACCAAGAGAACGCGAGGTAAAACCCGACGGCTATGGATGGTAAAAGGCGGCGGTAAAACCCATCCACACGGGTTTCGGTGGGTTGGATGGGAGGTAGAATGTCTACCTACCGCACCCCCCCCAATGTCGCTGGGCGGGATCGGCCCGCAGAGGCGGCATTGATCAGTTCCCCCCATGCACCGCGCGAGCTCGCGCGTTGGAGGCGTGGTCGACGCTGCGCTTGAGCTTCTCCTTGGGGACCCATTTCGTCAAGAAATCGGCGGGCATGAGGTCGTCGGTGATCTTGACGACGCGGCACTCGCCGTCGGCCATGCGGCGCTGCAGCGTGTGGTAGCGGCGCAGGAAGTGGCGCGAGCGCGAGGCGGATTTGGCGTTGTTGGCGACGAGGACGTTTGCCTTGTTGTCCGAGAGGATGACGGTCGGTCCGGTCGGCGGGGCGCCGAGGGCGACGAGGACCTCGCGGGCGTATGCGACGAGCTCGCCCGCTTTGGCGCTGGCGATGGCCTCGCTCTCGTGTGAGGAGTCGACGACGAGGCCGATCTTCTTGACGCTGTGCATGACGGCAGCGCCAAAGCAGGTGAGCAGCACGCCATAGAGGTCGAGGTCGCCGTTCCAGGTGGCGTCGGCGGCGGCGACGAGCTCGGTGGGCGCGTGCGAGTCGAGCCCGGCGATGTGCGCGCTCATGCGGCCCTGCAACTCGGCCTCCGCGTCTAGCCCGCCGTACGTGATGCCGTCGTGCTTGCGGTCGTAGGCGGTGCAGAGCGCGGCGCGCGCTACCTCGTAGGCCTCGGGCGGCGGCGCCGACATGACGCACGAGAGGCGGTGGAGGACGAGGGAGAGTCGCGGCTGGACACGCTCGACGAATTTGAGGTGGCCGATGATGCTCTGTGTGCGCACTTGCTGGGGCGACAGCTTGCCGTCGCGGTCGGCGAGCTTGAGCGAGTCGGCGGCGTCGGCGAGGCGCTTGCCGCTGAGGACGGTCGGACGCTCGCCGCGGAGGAGCTCGGGCATGTGCTCGCGTGCGGCCTCGATGATCTTCTGCGGCATGGACAGCGTGAGGGTGCGCCGCTCGCGGTCGCGCTCGAGCTTGAAGCCGGCGAAGGAGGTGGGCGAGTAGTCGACCTTGACCTCGTCGTTGAAAGCGGCCTTCAGCGCGGCGATGGTGGCGTCGGTGATGGTGGTGCCGTTCACCTCGGAGATGAGGAAGTCGTCGACGATCGTGATCATGCGGGCCTCTCCGTGCTCCCCATGGAAAAAGAACATCGCGGGGACACCCGGGCACGGCACCCACCCTAGGCCTTTGATGGTGTCATTGAACGTGCACTCCCACTCGTAGCCAGCGCACTCCTCGCCCCAGAGAGGTGAACAGAGCTCGATGCACAGCTCGGTCCCGTCCTCGTCGGTCATGGGTAGCGTGGACGGGAGCGCCATGTAGCCGACGGGCCCCTGTCGCTTGCCCTTGACATAGGCGTTCCCGACGTCTCCCTTGGTCAGGTGGGCATCGACGGCGGCGGCGTGTCCGACGAACAGCTTGGCGGTCAAGTCGTCGACAACGGTAGAGGTAGCCGGGACGCCCGACGGTGGTAGGCCGGCGCGGGCGCGTTGGACTTTGGCGAAGCCGCCGTCGGCGGAGTGCCGTGACTTGAACGGGTCGTGTTGGTCGAGGCCTCCGGTCGCCTGGTCGATCTTGATCTTGCGCGCTGTGACGCAGCGCTGGATCGGCACGCCCGCGGCCGCGGGGACGGTGACGGGCACGAGGCGGTTGCCGGGGACGCGGAGGATGCAGTCGAGGGCCTTGCGGTCGGCGGCCTCCCATTGCGTCCGCTCGGGCGATTCGCGCAGCTCCTTCTTGTTGGCGGGTACGCGGAAGATCTGCTTCACGCCGAGCGGCGTGACGACGTCGACGAGGCGCTGCGTCGCCTTGAGGCACTCGGCTGGCATTGGGGCGCCGGCGGCATGGCGGGAGAGGGCGCGGAGGCACTCGGCTGAGGCGGGGCTGCCGGCGGCCTTGTGGAGACAGGTGCGGCTGGTGTCGAGGCGCTCGGCGGACGCGCACTCGAAGGGCGCGGCGCCGTCGCCGAGGATGGCGTACAGCGCAGCGTTGTAGGCGTCGACGTGCGTGCCGCTGGTGGTGCACTCGAGGGCCGCCTCGGCGACGCTGGCGGCGCGCTGGAGGCGGGCCTGGTAGCGGCGTCAGCAGCGGCGGCGGCGGCGGCGGCTCGGGCAGCGGCTGCAGCGTTGGCGTCGGCGGCGTTGGTCTCGGCGCGTCCGCTGCTGACGAGGCTGGCGATGTAGCCGCTGTATGCGTCAAAGGAGCGCCACGGGGACCAGTTCGTGTACCGCCACTCGTTGATCTTGTCCTCGATAGCCTCCCGCTTGCCGCTCAGCTCGGCGGGGAGCTTGTCGGCGATGGCGCGGTAGACGTCGAGCGTATTGCGGCAGCGGTCGCTGAGCATGCCGAACTCGCTGGCGATCTGCGTGACGGCGAGCAGCGCCTCGTCGTTGCCCATGCCCATGAAGAGGGGCTTGCTGTCGTCGAAGGCTTGCTCGGCCTGCGTCATGGCGGCGCCTGGCTCGTGGCGTGCGAGGGCGGCGATGCGGAGGAGCGTGGTGACGCCTTGTGCCTCGGCATACAGGTCGTTGCTCTCGGGGCGGCGTAAGAAGAGCTCGACGGCGGCGGCGGAGCGGTCGAGGCAGCTGCCGATGGCGTCAGCGAGCCACGTGTCGGCCTCGAGCAGAGCGCTGTCGCCTGCTGCGATGTCGGCGACGAGCTGGCTGCGAGTCCCGCTGGCCCAGAAGCCGTGGAGCCGGCGGAAGATTTCGCCTCTGCGATACGCCTTCCTCCACAAGCGGTTGATGAAGGGGACGATGTCGGTCTTGACGAGCTTCGTCTTGAGCTCGTTAACCTCGGCCGCCGAAAGCGCCTTGAATGACTTGCGGCTGGCAGAGGTGGCGCCGGAGACGCTGGCGCAGTTGAGGAGCGTCCGTAGTTCATCGACGGTGACATTGGCAGGGGCGGAGCCGGCGGGATGTGGGGGCGCGGCGCCGGCACCAGGCGTAGGCGCTGGAGGCGGCACTGGCGCGGGCGGCGGCTGTGGCGCTGCTGGTGGCATCCAGGCCTGAGACGGGTACGTGCCTGCGCCTCCGCAGAGGGGCGGGATGGCGCCGTATGCACCGGCGGGTTGCGGGTAGCAGTAGGCCTGCTGCTCCCACTGGGCAGGGTGGATGGAGCCTCCTGGCTGAGCCATGCCCTGCATGAAGGGGGGCAATGCCGGGTCCATTATGCACTGCTGCGGCATGCCGTACTGTTGCTGCGGCGAATACATAGCGGGCTGCGAGCACAGCTGGCCGGCGCTGGCGCAGAAGGGCTGGCTGAAGAAGGGCTGTGGGGCTCCACACCCGCCATGCATATGCAGTTGCTGGGCCGGCGGGACCGGCTGCATCGGCATTGCGCATTGGCTGTGCGATGCCGCACCACATTGCGATGGTGATGCGTAGGAGCCGGCGGGCGGCACGTGCCCGACGGGTGGCTCGTGCCCAGTCGTCCCTGGTGGCGGGCCGGTGGGCAGTGGCGGCAGCTGCTGCGGTGGCGGCCGCAGCACTGGTGGCGGCGGCCGCATGGCAGGCGCTGAGCCTGCGGGTGGATTGGCGTGTTGGGCTGGCGCTGGACCGCGATCAGAGCTGATACCATGTGACGGCGGAGTTGACGCCTCCGACGGTCGTAGCGGCGTGGCTGAGGGCGGCGGTGGAGGCGCCCGATAGCGCGGTGAGGATGGTCTCATGGGTCTAGCAAACCATAGACGACACCAAGAGAACGCGAGGTAAAACCCGACGGCTATGGATGGTAAAAGGCGGCGGTAAAACCCATCCACACGGGTTTCGGTGGGTTGGATGGGAGGTAGAATGTCTACCTACCGCACTGCCGCCGCGCGCGCCCGCGCGCCACCCCTTTTGCGCAGCAACACCTTAAATTTCATGGCCCTCCAAATTCGGGTCGGAGCGTAGCGGAGTGGGCCCCGAGTTTGAAAACGGCGACGGACGCTTGCGTCCTAGCCGCCAACAACGCCTCCCCGGCGCAGAGGGGCCCCCGGAGGGATGCTCAACCGCTCCACGCCACGCCGCTTGCGGCGGTCCTATTCCACGCTCGCGGGGGCCGCTTCTTATTATAGTTTTCATTAGCTGTGAATGTTTATGCGCCCGCCGCAGGACCGCCCTATTCCACTCGGCACGCGCCACGGGCCACGAGAGGCCTGGTAGAGCCCAGCTGGCATGTTCTATCGCCCGGGTGTCGGGCTGTCTGCATACAGACGTCTCGTCGCCGTGGCCGACGCGTGGTCCGACGTGTGGAGGAGTTTGACCTCAGCCAGGCCGTCGGTGTCGGCTGGCTGACGGCGGCCGCCGGAATCGCCCTTTCGCGATTCGCTCTGCCAGCTGCCAGCAGCCTCGTGTCGCCGCTCTCGTTGGCGCAGCAGCAGCGATTGGCCTTTGCGCCGTCGCTCGACGGCGTCACCGCCCATCTGACCTGCGCAGCTCCTGCAGCTCCTGCAGCTCCTGCTGTCAGTCTTCTGCTCTCAGACACGCACCTCACTCGCCGCACGCGGATTGTGCGCCGCGCCAAGCAGGACACGTGCTCATGCAAACAATGCGAGAACTTGGTTGCGCCGCTTAGTGGCGGCGCTGCTAGGAAGCGGCAGCGTGGGAAGCAAAGCAGATGGAGGCGGCGCGGCATGCCAAGGAGCTGCTGCTGGCGGAGGTTGAGCGGCTAAGTGCAGCAAGGGCCAAGGGCAAGAAGGGGGTGGGCGTGGGCGATACGGGCGCCGCTAGGCTCAACGAGGAGATGCTGTGCAGTTAGAGAGCTCGTAGCGAGCTCGATTTTGATGAGAATTTGATGAGAAATATCTCAATTTTGAGCAAAAAACGCCAAAAAAATCGGCGCCTGCGGCGGGCCAGCCTCCGGCGGCGCCTGCGGCGGGCCGCTGGGGCCTCCGCCCCAGACCCTGTTTACACCCGAGCTATGCCCCACGACCTGAGCCGGAGCCACAGGGCCCAAAAAAGAAAGAAAAAACAAACGGGGCAACCCCGATCGCACAGCACTTCGTGTTGGAGAGTCGAGAATTGAGATAGTGACTAGGAGGGAGGGACGCTGGGGATTCTCAAAGGTCGTATAACCCAGCCAGCCGCAGCCCTATCGCTATCCCCTAAACGTAAAGTACCTTTAACCCTTGCAATGTCCGTTTTCTTTTTCAAATTAATAATTATTTCTTTCTTCCCGTCCATGCAAACCCTCAGCACACCCGACGGACTCTTTCCACACATCCACACACCCACGCTCACTCTCGCTCATTCGGCGCACTTGTGCATCTTCCGCCCCTGCACGACGCTCTCCTCGGCGGTGCGCCGCGCGCAGCGCGGGCCTACCGACGGCCGGGGCTCGCAAGCCGCGAGGCAGCCGGCTGCAGCGACGACGGCGGTGCCCGTGGCGCTCTCCTTGGCGGAGAGCTTGTTGATCGCCATCATGGTGTCGTGGCCCGCGACCACCTCGCCAAAGATTGTGTACGAGCCGTCGAGGTGCGGGGCGGGAGAGACCACCACCGAAAAGTGGCCCGAGTTCGAGTCGGGCCCCGAGTTCGCCGCCGAGAGCAGCCCGGCGCGGTCGTGCCTAAGGAAGGTCAGGTAAAACTTCTCCACACACACGAGGTGGTGGGACAGGGAGGGGGGCAATCCTCGCGACTCAAGGTGAGCGGTGTGTGTGTGTGTGTGTGCGTGTGTGTGTGCGCGCGTGCGTGCGTGCGTGCGTGCGTGCGTGCGTGCGTGCGTGCGTGCGTGCGTGTCGTGCCTCAGCGCGAGGCCCCCCGGGTCGTCATCAAAGGACGATCCCCAGATGGAGCCGACACCGTTGACGCCCGCCTGGTCGATAAACTGGTCTATGATGCGGTAGAATCGCATGCCGGAAAAGGTGAGCTTACCCCCCTTCTCTCCCGTGCACATTGCGCGAAAGTTCTCAGCCGCGCGCGGCGCCTCTGTGGCGTACAGCACAAACTCCATCCTCGACGCCGCACCCCCGCTGATGGACACGTCCAGAAAGACCCTCGGGTTGGTCGGCCGTGTCCGCCGCGCCGCGCGCTCCGCCTCTCCTGCCGCGCGCGCCGCCGCCACCTCCGCCGCCTCGGCGTCGGAGAGGAGCGCACCAGACACCCAGCCTTGGCCGCGCGAGCGCACGACGGGCAGTAGGCTCTGGGAGCGAGTCTTGCCCCAGCACTCGCCGCGCTTCGGGCCGCCGCATCCGGCGGCCGAGGCGCAAAAGACCCAGACGGCGCAACCCGAGCGACCGGGGTGCGCCGCGCTGTGAGTGCGGCAGGACGCGCAGCAAGCGGCGCTGTCGGGCTGGATGTTGTCCTTACCCCACATCGCCACCCCAGCGCCGTCATACTCAGCGCCGTCCTCGCCATAGCATTTGGCATCGAGGGCCGCCTCCGCCGGCCCATGAGCCGCCGCGCTCCCCTCACGCTCGCCGCCGCCGCCGCCGTGCGAGGCGGCCGCGAAGCTGCCGGCATCCACCCACCTCGAAAACGCGCTGGCCGCGTCGGTGACCTTTGGACGGCCGCCGCTCGAGCTGGTCCAGTTGCTGGGGCGCTGGGAGTGCCACGCGGGCGCGCCTCGGCCTTCTTCGTGCTGAAGCGCGCCGTGCCGAGATGCGTCGCCGGGCACCTGCTTGCTGGCAGGTGCTGGAGCAGCGAGCTTGGACACCACGAGGATTGCGACGAGGAAAACGAGCAGAAATGCCTGTCGGGCCCGAGTGCGCCGCCGCTGCTCGTCCTTGCGCTGCTTCTTCGAGGCCTTGCTCTCCTCGTCGCCGGGAGGTCCCTCCTCTAGGCGGAGGGACGCGCCCTCCATGGCGTTGTTTTGCCGTCACGGGCGCCGTCAAGCGTGGAAGAAGACCTAGAGCGTATATCATCTCAACCCTGTAAACCACCCCACTCCAGTGTAGGGGGGGGTCTGGGGGGGGCTTTGCCCCCCCCAGCGGGGGGGTTCGGGGGGGCAGATCCCCCCCCAAGAAAATTTGCCATTTCAAGGCCAAAAATACGAAGTTTTTAACCCAAATTTGAGCCGTGTCACGCCTATCGGCCCCCTCGAACGGCGCTCCTAGTGACTCATTAGCGCTCCATCCACACCTCATATTGCACCTCATAAAGCAAAAAAGTTGTGTTTCAACCTCTACTGGTTGGGGGGGCAAATGTGTGCGAAATAAGTTAAGGAAAACTATTAAAGTGAAAAATATCCGCCCCGAATCGATATACCCCAGCCAGGTATTTCAATTGACCTTACAGCTACCTGTAAGTCTTACAGTGACCTTACAGCCGCAATTGAAATACCCAAGCTTGGTATCTCATATAGGGTGGGGTTTTTCAAAAAAATGCAGTAAAAGCGTTGCAAATCGCCTCGAATGGTTGAATGGTTGCGGGTGGTCACCGGGGCTATAGTGTACTTATTCGATTGATCTCACTGAACACTCGCGATTCTAAAACAAACTTTTTTGCCCGTAAAGTCATAACAGTCGCGCCGTGCTCAACATGACGCGTTCTCGGCATCGCCGCGAGCATGAGATACAGAAGGCAATCGCTCACTTTTTGCGCGAACACTGGCCTGACCTGCCCTTTGTGGGTTCTGTCAATGGCGCCTTCCTTGGCGGCGGTCGCCTTGGCGCCATACGATGGAACGCACTCCGAACAACCGGGAGCTCGAGCGGCTACCCGGATGTTTTCGTGCACTGGCGAGGAGCCTTCAACGAGATCGGCTTGGCAGTCGAGGTGAAAGTACTCGGTGCTCGACTGCAACCGCGCCAACAGGAGTGGCGCACACGGTTGGTTCGGGCGGGTGCTGTGTTTGTCGTCGTGCATTCACTTGATGAGTTTGTGCAAGCTCTCAACAGCTACCTAGGAGACACGCCAGCACCGGCAGCGGAGAGCGACAATTCGGCAGACTCGATGCAGAGGGCGGATGAGGCACTAGACGAGGTTGCCGCCGAGGCCGAGGAGTTCGAATACGGGGCGTGGGGCACTTGGGGATACGATTATTCTTCGGCGCCGGCTGCTCCGGCACACTCTGCACCGGCTCAGCCTGGAAGCTCACCTGAGACTGCGATATCTCTCTAGAGCACGGCTGCGACCGCCGGCTTTGCCGGCTTGTATTTATTTCGATCGATCAGGCTGCCTGCTGCAACCTGGCCCTGTGGGTTGGGTAGTCTGTATCAGAGCACAACTCGAGCCTTCCGCAACTGATGCTGTTTTTTGGTTCGAGAGCTAGTGGATAAGTTGTTTGCAGCCCCATTTTGATAAAAGATAAAAAAGAAAAAGCGACGCTGTGGCGGGCGGCGCTGTGGAGACCTGAAGGCCCGGAAGGTTGTGCCGGCTCAGCCGCGCGGCGAGGCGGCGGCGAGGTCTCCGAATCGATTGCTCCGGAGGAGCGCTGTTGAGGTGCGCCACCTCTTGAGCGCCTCCTCTCCGGCGCTCTCAGGCCGCAGCCTTTGCGTTGCCGTTGCGCTGCTGCGGCTCGCCGCCGGCCGGCACCGCCCACCGCCACCCCCCTCACCGCCGCGCGAGCACGGCGCGCGGTCCGAGCTGTCGCGTTGGTTCGGACGGACTACTGCCGCGGCGCGCTCGAGGGCGGTGATCGCTTGCCCGCACGGCAGCAGATGACGCTCTAGTTCCCGCCGCCACCTCATTTTTAGGCGCAGCTGCTGCGGCTCGTCGCCCACCGCCCCGTCGCCGCTCCCCTCGCCCGCGCGCGGCGCGCAGGCTCAGTAGTCGCGACGCAGCCGGCGGCGGCTCTCGGCGGCGTTTCTGCGGCGTGCAGCGCCGTGCTAGGTCGCCGGCGGCTGTCTACCAGCAACGTCGCTCTCGCGGCCGTGACCCGAGTCTCGGTCGAGTATATAGGCGGCGCCGAGCGACGATGCTGGGTCCACCGCCGCGAGCCGCGCGGCGGCAGTCGCGACGCTGCCGGCGGCGGCTCTCGCCGGCGTCTCTAAGGCGTGCAGCGCCGTGGTAGGTCGCCGGCGGCCGTCAACCAGCCCCGTCGCTCTCCCGGCCGTGACCCGAGTCTCGGTCGAGTATATAGGCGGCGCCGAGCGGCGATGCTGGGTCCACCGCCACGAGCCGCGCGGCGGCAGTCGCGACGCAGCCGGCGGCGGCTCTCGCCGGCGTCTCTAAGGCGTGCAGCGCCGTGGTAGGTCGCCGGCGGCCGTCAACCAGCCCCGTCGCTCTCCCGGCCGTGACCCGAGTCTCGGTCGAGTATATAGGCGGCGCCGAGCGGAGATGCTGGGTCCACCGCCGCGAGCCGCGCGGCGGCGGTCGCGACGCAGCCGGCGGCGGCTCTCGGCGGCGTTTTGGTGGCGAGCGGCGCCGTGCTAGGTCGCCGGCGGCCGTCAACCAGCCCCGTCGCTCTCCCGGCCGTGAGCCCGAGTCTTGGTCGAGTATATAGGCGGCTCCGAGCGGCGATGCTGGGTCCACCGCCGCGAGCCGCGCGGCGGCGGTCGCGACGCAGCCGGTGGCGGCTCTCGGCGGCGTTTTGGTGGCGAGCGGCGCAGTTGCGTTCACCCGGTAATCGCAGCCTCCGAGCCGATGCACTATCGACGAGCCTCTATCAGCCCCGCTCGCACCGCCATAGGCCTCGCCACCGCCGCCACCGACTCACCTCGCCGCTCGGGTGGCACCTCCGGCAGGCTCTGCGGCTTGCGCGCCGGCCGCGAGGGCCGCCATGGCCGCGTCCGGATCGGTGGCGACCGCCGCGCCCGCGGGAGCGAGCGCGACCGACCTCGACGCCGCCGAGGCTCAGCCTGCGAGGCGTCGTAGCGGGCGCTGCCCGCCGCGCCTGCAGCAGAAGGAGCGCCACGCTTGCTCGCGCGCGGCGACGACCGGCACCGTGGCGCTCGCTCGACGGCGACGGCACGCGCGGCGCGGCGTACCCGCGTCTGGGCGGCGGCGGGCGGCGGCGCCGAGGCTGCTGCCGCCGTGGCAGCGCTGTGGCGGCGGCGAGGGCGACCGGCCGAAGGCGCGGCGCACACACGCGTGCTCGCTCCCGTACTCGCGGCGACGGCACGCGCGGCGGTGCGTACCCGCGCGTCCGGGCGGCGGGTTCGGTGGCGTCTATGATCTGTAATGTGCGTGTGAGGGCCCGTATGTGGGTCGTTTGAGCCGGTGTGAGCTTGACGGCCCGAGATAAGTGCGGTTTGGGACAGCTCGGGCTTGCTACGGATGGGCCTGGGCCAGGAGAGCGACAGAGATGGCGAGGTGGTGAGCTGAGCGAGGCTGGAGAGTCCGCGCGTGTGACCGCGTGTGGCTTCTTCGCGCACACGAGTGCCAAGAAGCGCATGTTTGCGGCGATTGCTCAAAACTGTGGGAGAGAAGGCCTACATATTATGACTGAACCCATGCCCCTGGTGCATGAGGACTGCGGGACGGGATATCGCGTGGCGCCGATATAATGACCTCCGAAATGCCCTCTCGCAATCGCCTTCGGATGGGTCCACCGGCCACCGGGACAATCTCGAGCCCTCTCCGTGGCATCACGAGCCGGTGTGAGCTTGAACACCCGAGACAAGTGCGGTTCGGGATAGCTCAGGCATGCTACCGATGGTCCTGGGCCAGGAGAGCGACAGAGAAGGCGAGGTGGTGAGCTGGGAAGCCGCTTCGTCGGCACCTGGACGTGTCGCGATGAACTGCCGAAAAGCACCTTTTGCGGCTATTGCTCAAAACGTCGGGAGAGAAGGCCTACATATTATGACTGCATCTATGCGCCTGGTGCATGAGGGCTGCGGGTCGGGACATTTCACGGTCGGTGGCGCCGGTGATGGCCTCCGGAAAGCCCTCGCAATCGCCTCGGATGGGGTCCACCGGAGACAATCTCGAGCCCTCTGCGTGCCATCACGAGCCGGTGTGAGCTTTCAGACCCAAGGTAAGTGCGGTTCGGGACAGCTCGGGCGTGCTACTGATGGGCCTGGGCCAGGAGGGCGGCAGGGAAGGCAAGGCGGTGAGCTGGGAGCAGGAAGTAGCGCTTCGTGGCACTTCATCGCGACAAGGTCACACGCGGACTCTCCAGCCTCTCAGCTCACCGCCTCGCCTTCCCTGCCGCTCCCCTGGCCCAGGCCCATCGGTAGCAAGCCCGAGCTATCCCAAACCGCACTTATCTCGGGTCTCCAAGCTCACACCGGCTCGTGATGCCACGGAGAGGCCTCGAGATTGTCCCGGTGGCCCCATGCCAAGCGATTGTGAGGCATTCCGGAGGTCGTTATCGGCGCCATCGACCGTGATATGTCCCGATCCACAGCCCTCATGCACCAAACGCACGGATGCAGTCATAAAACGCAGGCCTTCTCTCCCAAATTCTTGAGCAATAGCCGCAAACAACGCTTTTTGGCAGGCTCATCGCGACACGCACACATGCCGACTCCCCAGCCTGCCAGCTCACCACCTCGCCTTCCCTGCCGCTCTCCTGGCCCAGGCCCATCGGTAGCAAGCCCGAGCTGTCCCAAACCGCACTTATCTCGGGTCTCCAAGCTCACACCGGCTCATAACACCCCACACGAGGCTATTTCATGCCTGTTTTACCCTCAGACAGCGCCGGCACGCACTCCCACTTCACACATGATCAAGCACAGCCACCCACCAAAGCACAGCCCTGCTCAGAATGAGGACGGATGCTTCCACCGAGTTCCGACACACACTCTGACACTCACTTTTGCAAGTGTTGGCTCCCATGTCCCAAGCAGCAAGCCAAGATGAAGGAGGCTGGAGATATTGGTCTCGCTGAGCTGAAGTGTGCACTAGACCTATATGAGTATCATGGCGTGCTGTGAGCGAATACACGGTGCCGATGGTGGGATGAACTCTCCCAGCAGTTGAGGTCGACACACTCTCGACGCAGGCCGCAGCGTCGACCTTCCATCTACGGGCGGCGGCAGGCTCCCGGTTGCAAACGCACTCGCCTCACCGTCCAAGATGGCGGCCGCGCCCCCGTCCGTGCACCAGTGTGCCTCTCTAGTCCCGCCTCGGCTGGTGGACTGTATAACCCAGGGCAACGCGCTGCGTTTCGGGCCACGTGAGTTTTGTAGATCAATCCGCGCACAAAATGATTTTCGGCCGCCGCAGGGGGTTGGACGCGGCTGTTTCGGCCGGCGGTCGGGGTCGGACACAAGGTATGTCGGCGCGCGCGCGCGTCAGCGCCGAAGAAAAAATTGGGGAGATTTTCTTCTTGCTTTACTCAAAACTCCATCCTGAAATTTGTTGAAAGACTGAAGAGAGCGAATCATTCCGTGCATTTTCTCCTTGACGTTCCTCTGGCCCGCCGCGCTCTCCCTGTCGTAGCGGCCGTGACTCATCTGCTTCGGGCAGCATCAGTGTTCTTTGAGCTCTTTCTGAGCCGATGGTTTCCACTGATTGCACCGCGCCTCGCTGTTGTTGATGGTTCGATCCTCCCCAGAGTCGAACTGGCAGCCACTCGCACCAAGGAGGCGAGGTGTGGCTACGTGACCCAGAAAAGGCCAGAGTCGGGAGCAACTCTCGACGTGGGTCGCTCATTACTCAGGGACGCGTCCAAAGTGACCCATCCTGCAGCACATGACGACCACCCACCGCTTGTGCAAGCGTGGTCACGCGCTGCTGCACTGGCTGCTGCTGCTGCACTGACTGGCTGCTGCTGCACCTGCGCCGGCGCGCGCATAAACCCCTGCCAAGGCTGCGGGTGCGGCCTCGGCCGCAGTGGTGTAGGCGGACAATGATGATGCCGCGCGGGCGGAGTGGCGGAACGAGGACGCTGCCGTCAGACGAGGGACTGCTATCATACGCAAGCACGAGCCGTCGGTGACGCGACGGCGTGCACATCACCGTTGGCCAGCTGCTAAGCGCGAGAGGGGCACGGCCCCGGCTGGCGGGGCTGGGGCCTGTCCGGAGGTGGGTGGTGCGGCGGGCACGCTGGGCTCGCGTTTGTGCTTGGTGTAGGCGACTGCGGCATCCACCGCGGTTTCGAACACGCCCAAGCTCACCTTCTGGCGTTGGTGAGTGACGCGCGCCATAAACTTCCCGCCTGACACGCCGCACACGCCCATGTACCCAGTGGCTGACTTCGCGGAGTGGATCAGCTGCACGCCACCAGCTTGTGAAACAACGGCGGCCGAGGAGGGAGTGGGTGCGGCGGGCCTGGCGACAGGCGGCGAAGTGGCAGGGAAAGCAACGGCCAAGACCGGGCAAGCGGCAGCGGAAGAGACGGATGCAGCGGCAGCGTGGTCGGCGGGTGCGTCGGGCCTGGCGACGGGCGGCGAAGCGGCGGGGGTGCAACTGGAGCCCGGCGGGTCGTGAACGTCAGCATGCGAAATGATACCATAACAATCGCTTCGTCGTAGCCGGGGAGAACGCCGAGGTGCAGCCGGCTCGACGAATGCAACGGCGGCGTGGTGGGCGGGAGCAGCGGTGGAGCAGGGGGCGACGGCGAGGTTGCATCCGGAGCCCGGCGGGTCGATCTGCATCGGCTGCACGTCGGCCACGTCGGCTTCTGCCAGCTCTGGCTGCTGGGCGGCGGTCGGCGTGGAGAATGGCAGGACAGTTTGGGGCGCATTTGAGAGCGCTGGCCCCGACGCGCCGTCGGTTTGGTCGGGGTGGTTCCTCACCCCTGCCTGGCTGGTGTTTATCCAACAGTATTGAGCTCTGCGGGCATTTGTGGTGGGTGGAGGCAGACCGCTTTCCTCGGCCAAGTAGACGTGCGCGAGAATTAATGGTGGGAGTGAGCTACACTACAGAAATAAATTTCTACGTTGAACGATAAAGAGCCACATACAATAAATAAAAGGCTCCGCATGGGCCCCCTGCAACGTAGTTTCTCGAGGTTCTCGAGGTGGATATCCTTTGGCCGCGTTGGGTAGCGAGGATTGGTGTAACCCAACGTAGTTTCGTTTTGGTTCGCACGTACCAGCTTGAGCACTTGAGCACTGGATAGGGTCGATTCCGCATGGTACGGGACCCCTAGAACATATCAGAAATTCGTTGTAAGATTCCTTTTTTGGAGACCTTTCGAGTTTCGCCATGCACATGCTTCATGCTTTCTATATCTATCATGACGTCATGCACATGCTTCATGCTTTCTATGTGATCTATCTATCATGACACAGCTGCAATGGCGCGGCCCCCAAGTGCGGTCACGCGCCGGCGCGCTTTCGCTTGCGGCGCTTGGCCTCGGCGGCCCGCCGCGATGCGACGCGCTCCGCGGCGTAGGCGGCCGCGAGCTCCGGCTCCCACATCTCCGTGATCTGGTTGTAGCCGTGCTCCCAGATGCCCAGCACCTCCGACGGCCGTAGCTGGCGCAGGTGGTCCACGTCGTTGGGGTTAAGGCCGATCACGAAGAGGCGAGCACCAAGGCGAACTCGCGAGACGAGCACGTGCAAGTCGACCAGCTTGAGCTTCGGGTAGACGCCGGCGCCGCGCTTGCCGAGGCTCACGATGAAGTAATCGAGCGTCTTGCCCTGCACCTGCAGCGCGCGGAAGATTGGCTCGGTTGGTTGCTAATGTGGGCGGCGCGACGGCTTGGGCACCCACTCACCTTGTAGTCTGTCACGGCGAACGCCAGATCGATCTGGTGCTTGTTGATGCGCAGCTCTTTGGGCACGCCCACCCGCGCCGCCCACCGTCGGCGCGTACGTTGCCGACGCCTTGCCAACCAGCACTGGCACGACGAGCTCCTCATCGAAGAGCGATTCGCCGCCCATGCTGCAGCTCGACGTCCAGCTTCCGCGGCGCGTGCGTGCCGCGGCGTTGGGCGTCGAGCGCGCCACGGGGGCCAGCCACGCCACGCGCGGCCACGCGCATCGCACGAGCCAAACGCCGCGCCCGAAGTACAGCAGCGAGGTCAGCTTCGTAAACGTCGCCGAGGAGGCAAAGCTGAATCTCGCCAGCCATGCCACAGCGGCCGCGGGCGAGCGGGGCGTGTGCGCGCCACGAGCCGCCGCGCCGGCCCCTTCGCCCAGGCGCCTCCTCCGCTGCTCGCTGCAAGAGAGCTGCTCGTCGTCGAGATGCTCGGTTTTTGGAAGCCCCTGGGCCTCGCCACAGGTCTCTCTGGCTCTGCGCTCGGCCCCGGGCGTCGCGCCGTGTATCGCGCGCCTTGCGGGGGGGGCGCGGAAAAGAGGAACCTCTTAGCGCCATCGCCACGGTGCTGCATGCCGTGGCGGCGCCAGCAGGTGGGCTCCAGCGCCGCCCCGCGCGAGCGTACGCGCGGCGGCGACGCCTCCGCACCACCCCCTCCGCCGCCCGGCCGAGCGAGGAGCGCGAGAACGAAGAGAGACATGCTGTCCGAGAGAGACCGCGCGCGCGAAGCGAATTCTTCTCGCCAAGCACGGGGCTGCGCCAGGCCCCTCCTCTCCTCCTTCGCCCACAACATGGCTCCCGTGGGTCGCCGCCCCCGCTTTCCCGTCGCTGCTGCTCGCGCGTGGCGGAATGCCCACGCGCCCGCCCTTCCGCCGCCCGCAGGCCAAGAAGATCCAGAAGAAGAAGGTGGTCAAGAAGTTTGCGATTGACTGCTCGCAGCCGGTCGACGACGGCATCATGGATGCCGCGTCCTTTGTGCGCCCCCCCCCCCCCCTCGCGGGCGCCGGTCGCGGGCTCTCGTCGTCCGCCCCTCCCCCCGCCGGCCTCATCGTCCCCTCCCGTCGCCGCACATCCCCTCGCGCCCGCTAGACGCTCGCCCCGCGGCGCGCCCCCAACCGGCTCGCGCACTGTGCCGCCCAGGAGAAGTTCCTGCTCGACAAGATCAAGGTGAATGGCAAGGTTGGCAACCTCGCCGACCTTGTCACGGTCTCCCGCGAGAAGGCGAAGGTGATTGTCTCTGCCGAGACGGACTTCTCCAAGCGCTATCTCAAGTACCTCTCCAAGAAGTACCTGAAGAAGCAGCAGCTGCGCGATTGGCTGCACGTCATTGCCAACAAGAAGGACTCGTACGAGCTCCGGTACTACAACATCCACGACAACGAGGCCGACGAGGACGAGGACTAAGCGGGCCCCTGCGCGCTTTCTCCCGGAATTACGGCCAGTGACGTCCGCGGCGGCTCGCCGGCCCTCCGCCGCCGCGCACGCGCTGTCTGCCCGAGGTTCGTGGTGGCGTGCCCACGATAATCCCCCGGGCGGAATCGCCGCACCTGGCCTCACGGATAACACTAGTACCGCCAAGTGACCACCATATCTTGTGCGTATTCTGTACGGTGCTGGTGCTGCATGATTTGGTCTGGAACACTTGGAGCGCGCACGGCGGCACCGGCAGCCCGCGGGCCGCCCCCCCCACCGCCAGGCCATGGCCGCCAGGCCGCCCACGCGCCCAGGCACCGCCACAGCACACGGCCCACGCGGGGGGGCCGCCCCCCCGGGCGGCACACGCGCCGCGCCACACGGTCACGGACACGCGGCGCGCTCCTGCCACACGGCGGAGGACGGAGAGCGCACTGTCACGGTCGTACCAGCTCAGAGATGCCCATACGTACCACCTTCGTTGACGTTGTTTTCGTACCAAGCTGTTCGCGCGTAGAGTCGAGATTTGCATTTGCCATTTTCGGGCTCCTCTCTCTGGAATCAGTCTGGATAGGGGGGTCCGACAAAAGTCAGCCCCTCCCCCCCCCCCCCCCCCCTCCCAAAATCTTGCTCAGCTGATCCAGCCAGGGGGGGAGCGGGGAAGGCCAGGCCTGGGCAAAGAAACCAGCACCTCATCAGGCTTCCCTGAGCGTCACAAGCTCGGCGATCGCGCCAACCGGACACCACTAGTAACCTAGGGAGGATGCGAAGCATCTTCAGATGATTCGAGCAATCCAGGATGCTCCGGCATTTTAAGTTGAAAATACCATCTAGAGATGCTCGAGCATAGGCAAGACAGTGTGCAGTACAAGTAAGGATATTCTTAGATGCATGTTATCTCAAGATGCGCATATCAACGTCCGTTCCGGGCATTTGAACGCGACCTTCGGGGGCAAAGACATGGTCTCTATGGCCCAGACTGGACTCCTCTGGGTCCCTTCTGATGCCCTAGGCCACACCTGGGCCTTACCTGGGGCTCTAGGTACCGGGCAGGGGGTTTGCCACCCGAAACTGGCATGGAGAACCTTAATACGAACATAGATGGTGGACGCAGGAGCTGACAGGGCAAGCGCTCGACCTGCCGGCCGACACAAACCTCGAGACACAAACACGTCGGCGACAGCCGGGGACCCCGGCCACTCTCGGTCTCGCTGCCAACTACCGTTCCCCCAACTCGGGCATTTTCTTGGAGCACTTGTGGAGTGCAGTCATCAACCTCACACCCAGGGCCGGGGAGCTAAGAAGCGCACCAGCGGGCCACGCGCAGGTCCTCCTTGACCTTGTGCGGGAGGCGCCTTCGGTGCCACGGCAACGTGAGCCCAACGGTGAGCGCAAAGAGCCCGGCGACGAGGATACCAGCCCCGGGTGGGAACGTCATGATGCAGCGCATAATACGTCCCGCAGCCACCTGCATCTCCCGTAGGGTCAGCGAGGATTGCGAGAGCATGACACGCAGCATGTCATCATACAGTACGACGCGGGCCCAATCTAGGGTGCGAGTCTGAGACCGAGCGCACCACCAGAAACCGAGGAAGAACTGAAGCTGCGCAGCGGGACGGTCCTTTATCGCCTTGAAGACGATCCCACAGACCTCCTCCGCCCAAACATGGAAAGCGAGCATCTCGCGATCCACCGCTCCTTGTTCCGGCCCAATCAGGCCGCAGTCGTCGACATGGACGGGCATCGGTAGGGTGAGAACCTGCACCGACCGCGCCATCTGAACAACCACGTCAACAAAGAAGCGCTTGAAGGTCCCTGGCATTCCTGCGGCGCCAAAGTCTCCGCCAACATGCATGAGCAGACGCACATCCCCTCCGACCCGAAGCCGGAATCGACACAGGAAGAAGGGCCAAAGCGACCAATGAATCGGCAAGAGCGAGAAGGCGGAATCAACGTCGGAGACACGCATAAAGTAGTCCTGACGCAGGAACCACGCGACCTCAGAATAGCTGTTCACCTGGTGACGCAACGCCTCCATCTCAGCCTCGTCGACGGCCCCATTGAGGCCCGACCGACTGTGGTCAGAGACTGGTCTGTACGCCCCCGGCTCAAGCGGACCCTTCGGAACCGCGCCCACCGGAAAGATGATACTGGAAGGGCAGCCTGCCCGGAGCTCATTCGCCAGACCTGCATCCCACTCTCCCAGGTCGAGTGTCTTACCAGCGGCAACCCTCTTGGACAGCGCCTTGGCGACGGCGTCCTCCGCCCCAAGGGCGGACTCGTAGTTTTTGAACCAGCGATGCCCGTGGAGGCGCGCGATATCGACCCCGAGTTTGAAGCCGTCGCGCAGGCCGTCATACACGAAGGCAGCGTCGGCAGGCGTCACCCATCCTGTGCTCACCGCCCGCTGCATCACCGGTACAAAGTTGTCAAAGCGGATGCCGAAGCCGGGCAGCTCGCAAGCATAGCCCGTCTGCGCCCGCGCAGTCAGCTCCTCCATGAGCCGGACCCCGAAGGGCTCAGCCCTTGTGGGGGGTGCTGCACTTGTTGGGGTTAGGACAATCAGCGCGCTTATGGCCCGCAGGGCCCACCTTGCCCGCGCACCGCCCGAATTTGCCTTGGTCGGTGACGAACTGGTCGCACACGTGGTTGTGCTTGCATGTCCCGTCTGGCTTGAGCATCGACGGCACATGCGCCTTGCCCAAGTTCCAAGCTGTGCAAGGGGCCCCATCACTCGAAAAGCGTCCATTCCACTTCTTTGCGGTGTTGCCTGTCTCCCCGGACCGCGGCTCCCCGCCGCGTGTACGAAAAAAGGCGGACTCCTGCACATTGGGGTACACGGCCGCGAGAATGAGGCGCGCCTCATCCATCATGCCGGCGAGATAGACCTCCTCGGTTGCCTTGCGCAGGGAGAGCGCCCCGCCAGACTCCTCCACCTTGCGAATGAAGGCGACGAATAGACACACAGCAAGCTGCCATGGATGTCCGCGATCGAGGATCGTCTCGTAGACGACGTACTGCAGGAAAGCAGTCAGCTCCACTGTGTGCTTGAAACGGCGGTATATTTTTGGGCTATCTCTCCTCAAAAACGATGTCAAGCGCCCGCTCGCAGCCAGCCGCGCCGCGCCCCTGGGCGCTCCCCGCTGCGGCGCGCCGCCCGCGCGCGGGTTGCCCAGGCGAGCGACCGCCACAGCTCGCCCCTCAGCACCCTCTGCCCGCGCACGGCCGACGCGCAAGCCCGCGGTCGCGCGCGAGCCGTCGCTTTGCGCACGCCGCCGTCTACCCGCGCTCGCTCGCGAACGAGTCCGGTGACCCTATATTCCGAGCAGCGGAGGTGTGCTTGCACCCCCTTCCCAAGGCACATGCACTTTGGAGGGAGAAAGTGGCCATTGCGGCGGCCGCAATCTCACATTTTGCGCCTCACCCCCAGCAGGCGCGTTCTCGGGGTGCTGCTCCTGCACAGGTTTTGCGGCCGCCCCGAGAGGGGGAGCGGCCGCTCCTCCGCACCATCGGCCCACGGCATCCTGGGCGGCGTCGGCGCCGCCCCAACGGCCGGCTCGGGCGCTTGCCGCCCCGCCTCGGCTACACTTTGCCGCGGCGATCCACCGGTGCGCCGCCGCACCGCGCGCCTCCCCGGAGCCTCTGTACGGCGCGATGAGCCGCCTCGGCTGCCGCCGTGGTTGCGCCGGCGCCCCTCCCGCACGGCGCGACGCGACCGCAGCCGCGTGCGTGGTCTCACTCACCTCTCCCGCCCGCGCGTCCGCCTCTCAGACCCGCGCCTCCCCTTTCCCAGGCGCCATCACCGGCACGGCCGCCGCCGCCCGTGCGGCACCCGCGGCACCTCCCGCCCCCCCTGGCGATGCTGGCCGCTACCCCGCCGCCGTAGCTACCCTCCCCACCGCTGGTGCACCGCCTCCGCCGCCCCCCTCGGCGCTTCGCCCGTGATTTTGCCACCTCCTCCTCCACCACCACCCGTCTAAGCTTCCGCCCGCCTTCTCGCCACCGCCGTCCGCGCCACCTCAGCCGCCCTCCCCGGCGCTGCACCGGCGCTGCAGTGCCGTCGGCGCCGCCGCCCGTGCCGCCTCGGCCTCTGCGCCTCCAACCTCGCCGCGTCCGCAGCGGTTCCGCCCTCGGCGCCTCCCACCTCTCACCCGCCAGGTCGAACTTCCGCCGACGATGGTGCCACCGCTGCCGCCCCCCCGCTCGAGCCTCGGCCGCCGCACCCCGCCGTCCGCGCCCCGCCGCCACCCCCTCCGTCACGGCACACGCCGGCACCACCGCTACTACCGCTGGCTCCGCCCTAGACGCCGCCGACCGCTCGCAAGAGCGGCGAGCCCGGGGCCGACACCCCTCTGTTAGGTGACGGTCGACGGCTCCTTTCGAGGCTTTGTGGCCCTTTAAGAGGGCACCAGCAGCTTGGGGGGTGCGCGCTGGATGGCCGGCGCGGTGGAGCAGCGGCGCGGAGCCGGGGGTTCGACGTGCGGCCGTCGGTGGCGCGACACGCGGCCTCCGGCGGTGATTCGCCGCGGCTCCGGCGGTGCGATTTTTGTGCGTTTTCGAAGGCTGTGGGCGGGATAAGGCCGGCTAGACCGGCCCTGGTGTGCCCTAGTGTGTTCCCTTACACCCCTGGCCCGGGAGCAGTAGCGCGGTGCGCGTCCCGAGGGCGTAGGGGCTCAAAAAACAATTGATCAAGTTTTCAGCCACTTAGAGCACACACAGTGGGTGGGTGACGTGCCCAGTCCAGAAGAAATCATCAGCCACAGGTTGAGTGCGGCCCCAAATTCCGACTCGGTCTTCGGGTAGACGATGCGCGCACTGTGAACTGAGGTCGCCCGTTGCGTGGTGGTCGTCCCGGCGTTGAGCGACGCAGTGGTTGACGATTTTGCAACGCCGTCAGCCACCTCCCGGCTCACCTTGGCGAAAGTGAAGGTATAATCCCCAGTTGGGACGGTTGGACCGTGCTCGGACCCCCCGGCGTCAGGGATTGCAGTCTCCTTGAGCGTCCTCAGGAGGTCCAGGCTGCGGGTAATGTTCGCAAGCTTTCGGGTTTTCTCTTCCCCCTCTTCCTCGGCCTCGACGCCAGAAAGCTGCTGGGCCAGCTGCTCGACTGCCTCCATCTGGCAGATGCGTCCGGCGGAGATGGCCTGGACGATATCGCCCTTGGAGGTATCGGCAGTGATGGAGAAGGGCGTGCCCGCGGCTGGGCGGCGGCGCATCGCCACAAGGGCCTGAAGGGCGTTCGTCCCAAAGATGCGCAGGTAGCGCGGCCGGATGAGGGTGGCAAGAGTGACGGTACTCACGACTCCGACGCCTGCCATCGCCGACGCGTTGGTCGCGACAATGGTGATGGTCGGGCACCGTTGATCTGTGTCGTAGGTGCAGGATGCGATCGAGCTGCCACACGAAGGGCAAACAGCGCCGACTCCCCCGAGCCCCCCGAGGACTAGTAGCGGGATCATGACAAGGCGGTACTGGTAAACGGCGACGGAAAGCGTGCAGAGCAGGCCACCGCGGGCTCGGAGATAGGCGTGGAGGAGGGAGACCGACTCTTCTGAAGGCTCGTCAGCATGAGCACCGCCTCCACGGACTCGGCGGAGCAAGGAATCGATCCGGGTCTCAAGCACGTACGTCTTGATGTACGTGTCCATGAAGTAGCCAACGTGCCGCCCCATGGAGCGCGTGGCGAGGTAGATGGCGGAGAAGGTGAGGAGCACACCTGCATAAGGGCCCATCGCCGCGTAGTCCCGGAACGGCTCGGCAATCGCCGCCGCCCCGTGGCGGAACAAGGGGTACCCTCCACTGAGGAGGAGGAGGACGCGGACAGGGGTGTAGTCACAGAGTGCGCGAACCTGATAGCCGACACAGTAGACGAAGACGGCCATCCTGAGGAAGAAGAGGAGCTCAGGTCCCCCGTCACCGCTTGTCACCAGCTCAATCAGGGTGGTACCCAGCAGGTAGAGGAGGACTGCCCCAGCCCCGGCACGGTAGACCCGGCTAGTGAGAAGGGCTGCAAGACCGTCATAAGCGAGGCCCACGGCGATCGACCACAGGAATAACGTGAACTCGATCGTAGTGTAGGCCCAGCCCATCAGAGAATCGAGGCCACTGGCCTCTGCTCCCGCCTGGGATCGCCCATTGCGACCCAGAGCTAAGAGAGACATCGCGAAAACCGCGCCAATAAGTTGCTGCCGATAAGTTCGCCCAACGGCGGCGCGGCGTGCAATAATTGCAAATAGGAAACCGCGCCAGACCGGCGGCGCCGAAGTGGAACGGCGCCTCGCACGGCGGACACCAGCAATATTAATAATTGACTTGAGTCGCCATGGTAGGACGCCGCCCTGAATGATGACGGCAAAGCAACCCGAATAATAATAGCCATTGCTCCCTCAGTGTAAACGACTGTGAATACCGAACTCCCCCATTCACACCTAGTCACCGTGGCCCAACTGGGGTCAAGCCTGCAAACCCTTACCGGATCCCTTACCCCGCGCCCGCCGCTGCCCGCCGCTTTGTGCGCGGGACCTCCGAGCGCCACGAGGCTCCTGACACAGCTCCCGACTAGCGTCGGCTCCTGCTCAGACAGGCGCCAATCGACCAGTTCTCAAGCGAGCGGAGGCGGCGCTACCCGCCGGCCCGCCAGCGACGCACGCTGCAGGCGCCCCGGCGCGCAGGGCAGCCAGGCCGAACCGAACGACTACCGATGCCGGCAACGTCAATGCTCTCCTCCATGCAGAAGGCGCTGCGCAGCCTCCTCGTCGGCGACGACGAGGTCATCCCCGCGCGCGGCTGCTCCCGGGCCGACGGCGTCGCGGAGCCGACGTCGCCCCCCGCGCCGCTCGTCTGCAGCCCCAGCCAACGTTCCGAGTTCAGGGAGCCCGGCTGCGCAGTTTTGAGCGACACATCGAGCAGGGAGGAGAAGCTGCGCGGGCTCCGCCTAGCGCAGTCACTCTGTCATTCGAACGCCAGCACCACCGCGGGCGGTGATTCGGGCGGCGCGCCCACGCCACCTGCCGCCGGGGCCGGGCGGGAGGGTATGTCGTATGAGAGCTGGCCCACGACCCACGACGCGTGTTCAGCCAGTAGATGCACGCGGAGGGCGCTCACGGGCGGGCGGAGAAGGCGAAACGCTCTGGAGCGCAGATCGCGCTGTGGGTCTCCGACGCCTCTAGGGTTCCTCTATAAGATCCCTAGTGGCGTGCTGTGAATAAACAGCGGGACGCCCCCTGATCTTCAGCAAGTCGCTGGCGGCGGATACATCCCATGATTTCGATCGTCGACATCGAGTCCGCCGAGCGCGCCTCGCACCCGCTGGAGGTTGCCCGACGTGGCATCGAGGCGCAGGAGAGTGCCAATGCCGCACTCTACTCACTCGCGCTGCAGCACGAGGCGTCGGGCAGGCTCGCCGACGCCACGGCCGCCTACCGCCAGCTACTGGACCAGCCGCTCATCGCTGAGGCGGACGCGCTGCACGCTGCGACCGGCGACCCGTCGCTGCGGCTGCGTTTCCTCGCGCTGATGAACCTGAGCAACCTCGAGGCATCGGGTGGCGAGCCGGAGCAGGCGCTGCAGCACGCACTGGGTGCGGTTGCGCTGGACGAGCGCGACGGGCGGCTCTGGCTGCGGATCGGCCGGTTGGCGGGCGCCGCGCGCCTCGCCGCCCTCGAGCGGCACTCTCTTGAGCACGCCGTCCTCGCCAGCCCGCACAACCAGCTCGCGTGGTGTGCACTCGACGCGTTGCTCAGACGGGTGGGCGACACCAAAGCGGCAGCCCAGCTCGCGGCTCGCGCGGCCACCACGCGTGGTCTGCCGCCGGGCGCACTTCCTCTTCCCGTGCCCTCGCCGCCCCCGCACGCCGCGGCGGCTCTGCTCGGGCCTTCTTCCGCGGTCGCCGCGCCTCAGCTCGGCTCGGAGGGTTGCGAGGGGTGCGTCCTGTGGAGTGCGGCGGAGGAGAAGAGCACGCCGGCGCCGACGCCCACGCTTGAGATTGCCGCGCCCCGCTGGCTGTGCGTCGCGGAGGCAATTCGCGGCGCTGGCGGTGGGACGAGCGGCGGCGGGAGAGTGAGTGAAGTCACGCGCGCGGTTGTGAGCAGGCCCTTGTGGCGCTCGCTGAGGAGCCCGGCGGAGGCGCAGAGCCCGACGCAGTGCGACGGGGGGGGGGGGGGGGCAGGAGCACGTCCGCAACGCGTCGGCGCCGTGACCGTAGGCCCAGGCGCAGCATGGCTGGCGGGTCGGCGGCTAGCAATCGACCTGCCCCACGACATGGATGCAGCGCTCGCTGGGGTGCGATCGCTGGGATATAGCTGGAGGAAGACCCGAGATGTAGTCGTCACCCCGATGAACTAGCCGTCGGGGCAGCCGACCGACGCCGTCAAATGGGTCTCAACACGACTGGGGGCGTGTGGATAGGCCCCAGATGCCGCTGGCCCTCCCGATTGCGAGGCGTGGCCGCCCGTTCCTCACCTCCACCACCCATCTCCGCCCGCCACTTCTGCCGTCACCCGCCTTCTCCACCGAGCCTGCCACGCCGTCGGCCAACAAAGAGGGGCCTCCCTGACTTCTCATAACCTTCCCCGCAGGCGTCAGCTCCGCCCGCTCCGCCAGCCGCGGCGGTTGGCGGCGGTCCTGGCAGCTCCGCAGACCGCGACCGGGTGGGCGAGGCTGGTGGCCAAGGCGGCGGCGAAAGCAGCGGCCCAGGCGGCAGCGCTGCACAGGCGGCAGCATTGGGAGGGGCATGTTGGTCGGAGGCTGCGGAGGCTGTCCCGATTGAGGCCGACCAGGCTGGAGAGGTGGCATCCACGGCGTCGGTGACGACGGCCGGCGAGGAGGCTGGCGATTCGTCTCTGAGCTCGGGCGGAGCCAAGAGGCGCCATCTGGAGCAAGCCGAGCCAGTTCCCACTGCGCTGGACGCGGCTTCGGCGGTGGCCGTGGAGGAGGCGCCACCCTCAGCTTGCGGCGGCGCCTCGGCCCTAGCGGGCTCTCGCGGTGAGGAGCCGCCCCCTACCCCCACCGAGGAGGCGCCGCCTCCAAAGCGACGCAAGCCGGCGGCAGCAGCGAGCCGGCGACCGCAGCGCAGCCGCCGCGGCGCACTTGGCGCCTCTGACGTGGTGGTTAAGCGGCCGGCGAGTGCGCAGCAGTTGTTTGCGCGCTTTCTCCCGCCCCTCCCGTCCAGCCCTCCTTCCCCCGTTATCCAGCCCACCTCTGGCGTCCGGTCGGGAGCGTTGGCGGCGGCAGAGGCGGCGGCGGAGGGGCAGGCAGCGGAGGCGGGCCGGGACGCTCCTCTCGCATCCAGATGGGAGGAGGAGCGGTCCGTGTTGGCATGGCTGCGCGACGAGCGCGTCATGCTCAACAATGGCCTCCTCGACGTCTGTTCGTCCTTTCTCGACCGCCTCCTCATCCTCCCGTCACCCGGCCCGTCCGGCGCCTCCCCGCCCTCTTCCGCTTCTCCGCCGTCCTCTGGCCCTGCCTCGGAGCGCCGCCTCGTTGCCGACGGCTTGCTCCGCCTCCCTGTGCCCGGACGCTTGCGACTGCGCGCGTCGCTGCTGACGCTTCATGCGCTGACGCGGTCGCAGACGGGATCGCCCCCCCCCCCTGCTCGTTTGCTCGCTCTCCTGGAGCTCTCGCTCGAGGACGGGGGCAGTGGCGGTGGCAGAGGCGGCGATGGCGGCAGCAGTGGAGGCGGTGGCGATGGCGGGCCGGCGCAAGGAGGCAAGGAGAGGGAGCAAGCTGCCGCCGTGTTTGGTGAGCTACAGGCAGCGCTCCTCCTGGCCATCAGCCGAGGGGAAGAGGCCGCGCCGGACACGCTCGCGCGCCTCAGCTGGTCACTTGCAACGAAGGCTGAGCGAGACGGCGAGGCGGTCGCGGCGACCCGCCACCTCGCAGAGTGCGCGCATGCGCTGCGCGCGATGGCCGCCGATGGCGAGGCGAGGGGCGGCGAGGAGGGTGGGGCGGCGGCAGAGGCGTTCGCGCATCCCCTCTGCGCCAGTGCTTCTCGGCGCATCACCTTGGCTGACGTGTCGGAGGCGCAGCAGCGGCACTCACTCGAGAAGTTGGTGCGAGCCGCCTTGCCACGCATGGGCTTAGTCGCCTCCACTTCTCCAGAATGGGAAGAGCCACGGGGTTCAAGCTCTTCCGCTTCCTCAGCGCATTTGCAGTCCCTCTTTCTCCCGCGCCATTTCGCCGCTCACGCCGCCCGCGCGCGCCCCCCCTCTCAGGTGCACGAGGCGCGCGCTCTCCTCTCTGGACTCGCCGTGCGGGCGGCTCCCTCCGCCGGCGGGGAGTGGGCGGCCATCGTTTCGCACGCAGGCGGTGCCGATACCTTGGGGGGCGACGCGGTGCAAAGCATATGCGATGCGGCGTGGTCGCCGGCGTTTGCGGCTGCCGAGGCAGCAAGCGGAGAGGTGGCGGCGGCCAGCCCGGGTGGGGATGTTAAGCTGGCTGAGAGCGTGCAGCTCCTCGGTTTGTGTTGGATCGGCATGTGCCGTGGCGCCGGCGGGTTCGCGAGGGGGGAATCCCCTCCGCCGCCACTCGTGCCGCTGCCGCGGCTTCGCGAGCGTTTCAGCCAGCTGCTGAGCCCACTCTGTGCCGCGCTGCGACGCTGTCTGGCCCAGCTCGCCGTGTCCACCCCTCCTCCGACCCAGAAGCGTTTGGGAGCGGCAACAGGGGGGTCGGCTGGCACTGCTGCGGCGGCGACACTGGCGGCGGGTGCGGATGTCACGGAGGGGAGGGTTGACGCGATTTGGCAATCTCTCCACAACATGCTCACGCTGCTGTTGCAGTCGCTCGATGCCTTCTCGTGCCTCCACCCCTCGCACCGCGGACCGCTGCTCTCCCCGCCCGCAGCCGCACCCCCCTCCGAGGTGCCCACGGCGGACGCGGCGGGCGAGGAGACGGAGCTCAGCTGCGGAGACTGGCGCGCTGCGGCGGTCGCGGCGCAGCGGGTGGTGTACGAGGTCGCCATGCGCGCGCTGCCAAGATGGGCGCGCACCGGGTCCACCCAGGGTGGCGCAAAGGGCTCCCGCCGCTCACTGCACTATGCGATCTGCGCGCTGTGCAAGCTTTGGCTCGCTGGTGGTACCGTTGCGGCCTGCGCTGCTAGATCGCACTCGCGTGATTTGCTTCCTTCCACGGATGGTTTGTGCACAGGCACCGGCACCGGTGGCGTCGCTGAGGCGCTCGTGCTGCTGCAGCGCTGCTGGGGGCTGCTCGGTCGGGAGGCTGTCGCGGCGAGGTCGCTCGAGGTTGCCCTTGCGCCCGGCGCGGCGGCGCGGGGCAAGGGCTCCAAGCGCTTTCGGCAGGAGCCGCGGCACGAGGCGCCTCTCGCCCAGCAAATCAGTAGCGTCACCCTCGCTTGGCTACGGTGGCCCGAGGCGATGCTCGCGTGCCCGCAGCTGCCAGAGGAGACGTGGCGCGTGGCTCGGCCGACGAAGCCGTCGGCACCGGTGGTGTGCGCCATCGACGAGCGCATCGGCGGCCTGATTGCAGAGGCAGCGGCGGGCATGGGCGTGATCTCCACCGCTGTCGCCGAGCCCGAGCCGGCTGCTGAGGAGAGCTCGTGGCAGCCGCTCGAGGGCAGCGCGCGCGAGGAGGCCGACGCGATTGCGTCGGCACTCTCCGACGCTTTCCGGCTCGCCAACTCAGAGGCGGTCGAGTTTGAGGACCGACCGGTGCCGGGTGCAGCTGGTTGGAGCATCCGCTGGAAGGCGCGCAAGGCTGGCGCCTCTAAGGGCGACTCGTACCTCACCACCCCGCAGGGGCGCCGCTACGACTCTATTCGTGCTGCAAAGCGTTTCCTCGGCCTTGAGGCGCCACGCGGGGACGAGGGCGCCTCAGGGCGCGCGGCCAAGCTGGCGCCAAAGGCGGCGGCGCCGGCAGAAACGAAAAAGAAGGCGAAGGCGTCAAGGCCAAATGCGCCGAATGTGGCGACGCGGTCGTCGCTCGCACCAAGCCAGGTCGAGTACCAGTTGGTCGACGTTCCGCTGCGCGTCGCCGCCACCGCGCTAGGGGGAGATGGCTCAGGGGCCGGAAGGGGCGGTGGCGGTGCCGACAGAGAAGCTGGCATGCAGAGCGTCGGCGTCGGCGTTCGGCAGCTGCTCGACAGCTGCATCGAGCTACTCTTTGGCGGGATCATCGACGGCGGCGGCGGCGGCGGCGCCAAGCAGCACCCCCCCAAGGTGGTTGACTTTGCGAGTTGCCCGCCGCGTGAGGCCGAGCTCCTCTTGCAGTACTTCCTTATGCAGTGCCCGCCGGGTACGCTCGGCGGGGGCATCGTGGGCGGCGGCGGCGTGAGGTCGCAGAAAGAGCGACAGCGACGGCGACGGCTGAGGGACCACTTGCGGCGTTTCCTCCCGCCGGAACTGGCGTCTGGCGAGGGCGAGGGCCGCTGGGAAGCCCTAGCATTGCGCGCCCTCGCTCCCGCGCTCGCGAGCGGCGCCGACGATGGCGGGGCGTTGCAGGGAGTCCTCGCCTTGCTCCCGGCGCCCCTGGCGCCTCCATCCACATCCACCTCAGGCTCGGCGGGGCAGACGGAAGTGTGGCTCCTCGGCTCGCACCTCTGCGCGGCCTTGGCGAGCCTCGAGGCGTCGGTCGGGGAGTCGGAGCACCTCGAGGAGGTTTGCAACAGGTCGCTGCAGCGCGTCGAGCGCGGCGCCATCGCGGGTGCCACGTGCGCAGCTGCCGAGCGATGGGTGCGCTTCACTCATCCCACCACCGTCACCGCCTCCATGATCACCCATGACACGAGCTCCCAATGTCACTCTTGCCGTCGCCCCCCCCCCCACCCCCTCCACCCCCGCCACCCCCCCGCTACCTCCGCCTCGTCCACCTTAACAACTAGCAACCTCACTGGGAGGGTGAGCCCTCGCTAACAGCAGGGAGTCCATTAGGCGCGCTTCCTTGAGTGGTCCAATGCGCTCCGAAGCCACGCTCTGCGGCTCGCGCTCTTTGGCGTGCCGGCCGACGCCCCCGATGCGGCAGGAGCCGGCTGGCCCGCGGCGCTGTCGCCAGTTCAGCCTGCGCGGGTTCTGCTCTCGATCGGCGTTCACGCGCGCAAGCTCTGGTCCCTGAAGGTAGACGCGGCGCTGCACGACCCTGCCGCACCACTCGCCACGTGGCGCCAGTCCGTCCTCGGCGCATCGGCCGCGGCGAGCGACGCGGCGCGACTTGCCCACGGCTGCTTATGCCTGCTCGTCGATGCGCTGCCCCCGCCAAGAGAGGCGCAGACCATTGCCGCGCCACCGGCGTGGTGCGGCCAACCGGGCGGGTTCGCGCGCGTGTGGGCGCACGCCAGGCTCGAACTCGCCATGCTCCTCTCCACCGAAGCGGCGCTGTTGCGGTACATTGAGGATCGCTCGCCGGAGGGCGGCGGCAGCGCGGGCGGCGGCGTGGGTGGAAGGAGCTGCGGCGGTCAGGCGGCGGGCGGCGGCGGCGACGTGTCACGTTGGCCCCTCGCTTTGCGGCTTCTGCGGACGGGCCACCACACGTCCTGGCAGGACGCGCTGCGGCAGACTGCAGAGCTTCTGCGGCAAGTGACGGAGCAGACGGAGGAGGCGGTGGCGGCCACGGCCGCGGCGGGGGCAGGGGTGGGGGCGGGATCGGCGGTGGATCGGGGAGAGGAGGACGAGGAGGACGAGGAGGACGACGAAAAGGGCCAGCAAGACGACACCGAGACGGAGGGGCATGGATTGCCTGTGGCGTGCCGTTGGGCTGCGCACTTGCTGCGCGGCCGCGCCTTGCGAGAGCTGGGCGAGGGCGGCGCAGGCGCCTGGATCCTCGAGCTCCGCCGCTCCGTCGCCCTCTCGGCTTCATTGGCCGGCGACCGGTGTGCACTCGCTCTGCAAGAGCTGGGCGGCGCGCTCCTCGATGGGCTCCTCGAGTCTGAGCCTGCGTCGGCGCAGCTCGACGCCTTTCTTCGCGACGTCAAGTCGAGCGGAGTCTACAGCCTCGCCCAATGCTCCGAGGAGGACGAGGAGGGAGAGGAGGAGGGAGTGGCAGATTCGTGCTGCAATGGCGACTACGACTATGGCAACGGCGGTGCGTGTGGCGACGGTGGCGGCGGTGGCAGCGGCGAGGGCAGTGCCGGTGTGGGCGGCCATCTGCCGGAAGGGGCGATCGCGCAAGCCACCCTCGCTCAGGGCTATGCGGCGTGCGAGTCGATCCTGGTGGCGGCGCTCAAGACGAATCCGTGGCTCCACCGTGCGCGGCTCGCACTCGCGCGGCTGCACTGGCACCGGCACAGGAGGCGTCCCGGCCGCGCGCTGAAGGAGTTGCGTGACCTCATGCCCAGCCGCGGCCGCAGTGGCAGCATGTCCTTCTCGATCTTCCAGGCCAAAACTGCCTGACATCACGCGCACATGATGCTTTGGCCATGCCCCACCTTACTATTGCCTACCGCTCTCGCCGCAGGTGCCGTCCCGCGCGGCGGCGCCGGTCGTAGATGAGAGCTGTTGCGGCCCGATATTGCGCACCTTTGAGCTGTACCAAGATTGCGCAGACGCCGCCGGCCTCTACTCAGAGGTGTTGGCTGGCTCGGCGAGCGCCTCCGCCGACCCAGCGCGCGAGCTCGAGTCGCTCGTCTCGCTCTGTGCGCTGCTCAAAGAGGAGCGGATGGAGGCAAAGCGTGGGGCCGCGCTGCGGAACTTTGCACGTGGCCTCTGCGCTTCCTTGCCCACCGACGGCGCGAAGTCGCGCTGTGACGTCTCCGCCGCGAGGCGGCTGCTGCGCGCAGCCTACCGGTGTTATCCGAGGAGTTCCCAGTTCGCCCTTCATGCATGTGCGCATCATGGAACTGCCCCTGACGTTCGTAGGCTCTACCAGGACGACGAGCTCGCCGCCCAGCTCGAGCCCGCGGGACTGCCGGCGCGGGCGGTTCTCCTCGAAAGGGCGTTTGGAATCTTGCGCGCCGGCACTACCGCCGCCGCCGCCGCCGCCGCCGAGGTGGCCGCCGCCAAGGCTGCCGCCGCCGCAGCCACCGCAGCGATGGCGGCGAGCGCGGGTGCTGAGACAGGCGCTCACGACTCCGCGAGATCAACGCCGATGGGTCTCGACGGCGTCGAGGGTGGCGCTGAGCAGGCGCCGGCTGTCGCGGCGGCGCCGGCTGGCGCGGCGGCGCCGTCGAGGATGTCGACATTGAGCGTCGAGCCACCGTCGAGGGCGCAGAGCTCGAGGATGTCGACATCGAGCGTCGAGCCGCCGACGCCGTCGAGGGCGCAGAGCTCAGAGCCACCGCTGCCACCGCTCCCAGAGGAGGGTGCTGCCGAGGCGGCGCTGGTCGCTTATTGCGAGCAGGCCTTCCCAGCCGCTGGCCGCAAGCGGCAGCGACTCGGTGGCGGCGGCGGCGGGCAGAAGCTGCCAACGCCGCGGAGCCAACCGTCTCCGAGCCGCCCCCTCTCCCAGCCGCGGCCTCAGCTGCCGGGCTGCGCCCACCGTCCATCGGACGTCTCGGCCGCATCGCTTCTGGCAGGCACAGGCGCTGTCCTCTCGGTCACGGTCCCACACGGTGTCGCGCCGGGGCAAAGCCTTCAGCTCTCCACGCCGATGGGGCTCATGCGAGTCGTCGTTCCTCCGGGCTGCGGCCCCGGCTCCGTCTTCGGCGTGCGCCCGCCGCCGTCGCCGTTGTTGCCGCCGCCCGCGGCCAGCGCGATGCAGGCCGCCAGGACGTCGGAGTCGGCCCCGCCTCGTCCTGTCCCACCGGCACAAGCGGCGACGGGGTCGGCGGGGTCGGCGGGGATGGGGCCGCCGCCAGGTGACTCGACGTGGTCGTTTGGGAATGGCGTCGTCGAGGATGTGGACTGAAATTGCTAAACAGCTCGATGGTCGAGCGGTCGGACGCGTTCACTGCCGTTGGAGAGCTTGGAGGGTCGACCCAGGTAATACGTCTGTGTGGGGCGGGTATATACACCCGCGGGTGCTCTTCACACTGGTGCACACCCCGCCCCGAGCTCTCAGTAGCTCCACAATGAAACTCTGTTTTTTGTGTATCGCGCGCGCACACACGCTCTGGCGCCTCTGCGATCAAACACTTCACGCGCACTACGAATTCCTGCCCGCACTACATCCGCCGCGTCCCGCCCCCTCGGTCATTCACCGCTCGCGGCTCGCCCCGTCCCCCGCGCCCCGCGCGCCGCGGCCTGGCAGCGGCCTCGTCGCGCCCACGCCACGCAGCGCTGCACGTGCTCCTTGGACCTTGGCAGCTACGCGCCACCCTCGCCTTGTCGGCATCAGCCACTTGCCCATCGGCCACGACCCTCAGTGAGGTGATTTCAGAGGGGGCGTGAAATCCGAACCGCAGGGAGAACGGAAAGGAAGCAGGCCCAGGCCACGATACCAAGGCACATCTTACCCTTGTCGTTGACAGTGACCTTGCGAAGGACCTTGGTGTACGAGTTTGCGATGTCACGGAAAACGAAGAAGGGCACGTGGAACAAGATACAGGTCGTGATATATCCGAGAGCCAGTGACTCTAACCACCATTTCATCATGCCATCGAGTTTGGATTTCACGTGCCAATCAACTTGTTCTTTAAGGCACCGGTCGTTCCAGGCGCCGGTGAGGAAGCCCGGAAACTGGTGGACTGCCTGGAAACTCCACGGACACCACCAGGGCGGTGGTGGTGGTGGTGGTGGTTTAGGCTCTGGCCACCATTCCTGCAGAAACGGCTGCAACGCATCCGCGACAACAAGGGTCAAGTCCATGCAGATAGGTTTGAACAGCGTCGAGATGTAGCCAACGACAACGCAGATCGAGATCGTCGCCGCGAGTACTTCTTGACGCGAAGCCGGGCGAGCACCAGGCTCGCGATTCTTGTGCATGAACATGACCACGACCGATAACGCGCCGACGAAGATAGAGAAAGGCAGGCGAACAGTGACCGATAACGGCGCATCACTTTGGGTGTCAAAGCGGGCGGCCATCACGTAGCATAGACACAGCAGCCAGCACAGCAGACAAAGAGCACGAGCACTGCGAAGCGATTGCATTTGCTGGTCGATGGTGGCGTCTGTCGATGTCGTGGCGCGATTGACACGCTTGACCCGGTTGCATGCAAAAGTTAAAAGTTTGAAAGTTGAAAGTTGAAAATTTGTTTCGTTGAGCTTAGCCTTCGATGTTATGAAGTTTTCCTTTATTAGCAACACAAGTTCGCGGTCTTTTGCCCGATTGTTCAAAAACGAGGGGCTACCCGAAGATGTAGGTTGAGTAGCCGAGTCAAGCGTCATGCGTGCGCAAAGAGAGCGTCCCGCGGCGGAAAAGAGCTGGATGGACGAGTCCGCGCCACGTGCTCCTTGCACTCGGACTCGCGCAGACGCTTGCAGGCCTGCTCCTCGCACTCCCACTCGAGCTCCACCTGCGTCTCCGACTTTGACCAGCCGAAAGTGGAGCGTGTCAGGATCGGCGCCTCGGCTGTGAACTGACCTCGCTGTGAATGTCACCGCCGTCACAGACACTATTGTCCATGAATGGTAAGACTGATAGTAGAGTAGAATCGGGTCGAGCGACCGGCCCAGTCGACCGTCCCCTCCCCTCAGCAGAGCGGGCGAGAATCCTAACGGATTCACGCCTCGTGCGCCGTTTATCCCCGTGACCGGAGGAACTCGCGGACCCGAGGAGTCTCGAGCTTCAGCTGGCGAACCATCATGCCGCTCTCGGCACCGCAGCAGCGCGAGCGCCGCGCCGCGCAGCGCGCTGCCGAGGCTCAGGACGCGGCTCGCGGGCAGCGCAACCGCCCGGCGCCGAGCCGGTGCTAGGCCGCCTCCGCTGCGCCTGCTTCCTTGCGCGCCGCTGGACGTCGGCCGAGAAGACCGCTTCCCTCTGGGGACCCGACTCCGCGAAGATCGCCCCCCCTTCGTGAGTGGCGGCGCGCCCCCAATTTCCGTTCCCGGGCACCCCGGTCGCAGTGGCATGGGCTCCCAGGCTCAAAAGCGCTCCCGTCAACAGCGAGCGAGGGCCGCCGTTGTTCCTCCTCCCGCCGCCGTTCACCAAGATTGGGTGCCGCCGTTCGCCGCCGCCGCCGCCGCCGCCGCCGCCGCCGCCTCGCGCCTCGCCTCCGTCACCGCCGCCCTCCATCTCGCAGCGGCGCGTCCCTCTGATGGCGCGGGCGCCTCGCTCACCGGCGCCTCGCCGCCCCCCCCCCCCCCCTCTCGCGCCGCTCCGCTCGTGGCCGCCGCCTCCCCTGTCAATCCCGCCGCCTCCCCTGTCATCCCGCCGCCCGCACCACCGCCGCCACCGCCTCGCGCCTCGCCGCCGCCGCCACCGACCGCCCTCCCCTGCGCCGCTGAGCGCGGTGCAGGGGGTGAGCCCCCGCTGCGCAGCCTCACCGCAGTGCACTGCGCTCTCCGCGCCCCTGACGATTAGTGAGGAGGTGGTGTTGCACAGCATGGAGCTCGGCGAGCGTTTAGCGAGCCCCGCAGCTAGTAATGATATAAGGCTCCCCTGAGCCCTGGTGTCGAGGTGTCGAGGCCCGGTGTCGAGGGTGTCGAGCTGCTGTCGAGGGATAGAGGTGTCGAGGCCTGTCGAGGCCTGTCGAGGCCTGTCGAGGCCTGTCGAGGCTGAAACCATGCTTGTCCGTGTCGAGGAGTGTCGAGGGGTGTCGAGGGGTGTCGAGGGTGTCGAGGGTGTCGAGGGTGTCGAGGGTGTCGAGCGGGTGTCGAGCGGGTGTCGAGTGTTGTCAAGAGGCGTCTGAGGTATCGAGGTGTCCAAGGTGGCAGGTGGATGCAGTTGCAGCCCATCAACATACAACAAAAGTTGGGCAGCAGTTGCAAAGCTGTTTCATCCCTTAGTTGCAGCCTCAGTTGCACCCTGTTGATGTAGCACAACCTGAGCACAACCAGTATACTCTCTGTGGACATTTGAGGACATCAAGTGCCGGGAGTCATTGCCACTGTGCACCAAGGTGCTGTGCAGGCGCAGCACCGCAGCAGCGTCGCTGCTGCAGCAGCGTCGCTGCTGCAGCGTCACCGGCGCACAAAGCGCAACTGACCACAGCGCTCATGGCACAAGGCTGGTGCCATGAGTCAGTGGACATTGCCACTGCACAAGGTGCTGTCCAGCAGCTAAGGGCTACAGTACCCCATCGCAGCAGCGTCGCCGCCGCTGCAGCGTCGCCGTTGCAGCGTCGCCAGTGCACAAAGCGCAATGGACCATGGCTGCCAGTTCGGGACTGGGGCCGATCGAACTTGACTCTTGAGTTGTTCGGAGGAGGAATCCGGCCAGCACGGGTACAAAGAGGGGTCCCGGAGAATCCCCAGCTGCGGAAACATAGTGTCGCTCAAGAGGTGCGATACTGCGGGGGAGTGTAAGGTGCCTATATGGGCTTCCAGTATCGGACCTTCAAGACCTTCGCGCTGGCGGTCATTTCTCCTTTTTGGCCCATGTCGCTGCTCTTTGTTCGCGCGCTGCGCAGCGGCGCGCGACCTCTGCTGGGGCTCGGTCCGTCCCGCGCCCGCCTGCTCTGCGCGGCAGCAAAGCCGCCGCCATCATCTGGCAAAGGCGAGCCCGCAGGCACAACGACAAGTCCACACCGTCGACAACCTGGGATGCTTTTCCGTCACTTCTAGCGCGCCGCCATAGGTGAAGAGCGGGTGGAGGATTCCATCGCGACGACAGCTTCGACGCAGGAGCGCGCCCCGGGAGGACTGGCTGTCTACAACGAGGACGAAGAGAATTTGCCGCCCCTGAAATTCGAGCCGGGCGTCGTGGGGGCAGCGCAGAAGGGCGTGTCGGCGGTTGTCATTGCATTTGGCGCGTGCGCCTTCGGCGCATGCTTCTGGGGCGTGTCGCAGGCGCTGTTTCCGTCGGCGACGAGCACGCAAGTTATTTTCAGCGAGGCGCTCGACAAGGCGCGCCACCGGGCCCGACCATAGGAGCCAGCGGCAAGGCGCGCACACGTCCGCCCAAGCCCTCGGCCATAGGTGTCCCTCGACGCGACGGTTGGGTACGCGCTCGGGACGCCACTCAAAGCCTGGGGCGCAGACCGCGGCGGGGATCGCGGCAGGCACGTGCGCGAGAGGGCGGTCACGCGCGTAGTAGGCCAGGCGACAAACGGCCGGTCCTTCTCGCCACAGGCGCAATGCGATGGAGCGCTGGGAAACCGAGGAGGACGGGCAGCCCGTGGTGACGATCCGGTTCCACGTGGCGGGTCCGCAGGGCACCGGAGTCGTCGTTGCTCAAGTGCCTCAGAAGAGAAAACGCGGCGAATTTCGGTGCGCGGCTGGCCCGCGCCCTCCCAGCGGAGTAGCCCCCACGACCAAGCCATCCATCCGTTGCTGCAGGTACATCCTATTCGAGCACCGCCGCAAGCTGATCAGTGTTCTAGACAATCGCACCGACGCCGCTGCCCTCCCTGCGCCGTCGCCCGTGCCTGCCCCCTCCGCCGCACCGTCCGCCTAGAGGATGCAGGAATCCGTGGTCCGGGCGGTTCTTTCGCGGTATCCGCCGTATACGGCGGGATATGCGCCGGATACGTGGAGATACCGGGAGAGAGGGCGGGATATGGTATGGGGAGATATGAGGACCCGCGCCGTGGCGGATCGGGCGCCGCGGCCCGCTGAGCCGGGGGGTCGCGGCGACATGTACGTGTGGCAGCGGAGAGAGATTCCGCGGCCCGTTAGGCCGCCATTTAGCGTGGCCGAAAATTTGGCGCGTAAAAAGAAAAATGTGACCGGGTTGATGCTACTTGGCATGCGTGGGGACGGATACTGCCAGTCGCTGATAACTGAGACACTGGGCCCCACTGTACATGCCTACCTCAAGCAGAGCGGTGAACTGAACTCCGTTGTGAACACGAGTCTCGTCTCTCGAGTGAACGGGCAGGCACGTCACTCTCCCCGCTCTCTTGCGCGCGCCCTGGCCCGGAGTGAGGCCTACTTTAGGGCGGCGGCGTGGAACGCGAGGTGGTCGGCGATGAAGCTGGAGATGAAGTAGTACGAGTGATCGTAGCCCTCCTGCAATGCGTGCATGCGGGGGCGTATGTCGACCTCTTGGGGTGGGCGTCAGAAGCGTCTTCACTGAGGCGCTCCTGCATGCGCAGCTCGAGTTCGACGCCGCGCTCGTTGCACACGGCGGCAAATGTGTCGGGGCGCAGCTGGTTGACCTACCGCGGCCAGAGCGAAACGGCTACTGACCCGCCAAGCAGTGGCGCGATTTATGAGCCGCCGCTAGCACCTCCCCGGAGAGAAAGTTGTCGGCGGCGCCCTGGTCAATCAGTATCTTGAATGGGGGCCCCGAGTACTGCCTCATCAGCTCGGTCGCATCGTGCGCCGCGCCCGCCTCCACCGACCCCAGGTAGCCCTTGAAGGCCTTGTCCCCCCACGGCACCGCGGTTGGGTTGCAGATGGGCGCAAAGGCGGAAACTGAGCGGTACATGCCCGGGTTCTTGAGAAAGAGGGTGAGTGCGCCTGGCGGGGCGCGGCATGCGGGGCGTCGAGAGCGCCGCTGCGCCGAGCGGGGCTGCCTCGGCAAGCCGCGCCGTGCCCGCCCATGGAGTGACCGCAGATGGATGCCGCCGGCGACAGCTTGCCGGGGTACGCGGCCGCCACCACTTCCGGCAGCTCGGCCTTGACGTAGGAGTACATCTGGTAGTGGTCGCGCCACTTGGGCTGCGTGGCGTCCACGTAGAAGCCGGCGCCCGAGCCAAAGTCGTACCTCGCGGCGCGGTGGGCGGCAGTGTGAACGAGCGGGCGGCGGCGGCGGCGCTGCGGGCGGCGTGGCGTGGTCGCACGAGTCGTCCGCGCCGTCAATCTGCACGCCGCGAGGTGAGGTGTCGGGCATGACGACACACAGGCCGAGCTGCGATGCGGCGCGCGCGAAACCGCTCTTCTGGTGGAAGTTCTCGTCGGTGCACGTCAGGCCGGAGAGCCAGTACACCACCGGCACAGGCGCCGCGGCGGCCTGCGGCGGCATGTAGACCGCGAAAGTCATGTCGCACGCGCAGGCGCTCGAGCGATGGGTCAGCCGCTGCAGGAGCCCGCCGAAGACCTTGACGGAGGACTTGACCGTGGCAGCCATATTGCAAGTGCTCCCGGAGGCGCCGACGTTGGTCGAATTTGTTTTTCTTTACGTGGTTCCAACCCTGTTTCGACTGTTTGTTTGTGCCCTTGTTTGTTTCTCTTGGCACCTTGGAGTGCTGGGGGGGGCGACAGGAAGGATGTGGCCCTGAATTATGTGTACGCCAACCCAGGGTGTGTGGCAGCCAGCTGGCTGTGTGTCTTGTGAGCTTGTTTGTGTCTGTGTGTCGCTCGTGCGTGTCGTCATCATCTGTCCAGCGTCCACCCATACCGCGTTGGTGTCCAGTCCGAGCCTGGCTGTTCTTCACCTTTCTACCTACCTACCTACTTTCGACTGTAAAGAACGCTGCTGGTTGGCGTCGGTTGCGTAGCACGGACTCGGGCCCGGTGCTTCGACGCAGCACAGTGTGCTTCGTGGTAGCATGAACTCAGAACGGCCCCCCGAGAGCGCCTCTTCGACGCCCACGGGTCCCGGGGGGTCAGAGGGGTTGCGAGAGGGCCCCGGCTATTTTTTGTTTGAATCCCGGAGGCCGTTAGAACATGAATTGACGTTCCACGTGCCCGTCCACAGCCACGGACAACATGCTAGCCCAGCAGGCCGCTCCCACCGCCGCCCGCGGCGGAGGCAAGGCGGCAAAGGGTGGCAAGGGCGGCGGCAAGGGCGGTGGCAAGGGTGGTGGCCGTGGCGCACCAGACTCGCTTTGCGCCGCCGCCCTCAACGCCCGATACTCGGTTAGAGCCGGCGGAGCGACGGCGGCAAAGGTGCGGCCGCCGGCGACCTCATACGGTGTCGAGCGCCGTAGAGACGGCCCCGAGAGCCGCCACCAGGTGTGCCACGACCGCGGCCGCGAGGCTCGTGGGGATGGATGCGCCAGACCCGCTTTGCGCCGCCGCCCTCAACGCCCGATACTCGATCAGAGCCGGCGGAGCGACGGCGGCAGAGTTGCGGCCGCCGGCGACCTTCCCCTCGACCACGCCGCCGACCCGTCGACAAGCACGCGTGGACTGCCATCGAGAAGAAGGAGAAGGAGGGCGGCGCATCCGGAGCCCGCGGGCGCGGCGTGGGCGGGCGCGGGCGCGGGCGGGCGCGCGGGAACCCCGCCAGCGGAGGCGACAATGCCTCTGGCGGCGCTGCAGGCGGCGCGCGGCGCGCCCCTCGCCGGTCTCCCGCACGCTCCTGAGGGCCGAGAGGGCCGAGAGGCGGGGTCGGTGACCCGGGGGCATGGGCGGTGCGGCCCGCGCCGCGCGCGGGCGCGTGGCAGCCCGTGAGTGCCGAGATCGGGTCTGTGCTTCGACGTAGCATGGGCCCCCGGAGGCCCATCTACAGCAGCGGCGAAGTGAGCGTGTTTGTGGTGTTGGTGTGACGTCTGAGCTTGGATCTGTGACTAAAGCCGCTTACCACTGATGGATCCCCACCCGAATAACACACAGTGAGCGCCCCAGCACTTCACTACGCCCTCCGCGCGAAATCGCTAGTGGTGCTTTGTGGCAGCACATTGTGCTTTGTGGCAGCACGGGTGCGGTGCCCGAGACCGAGCACCCCTCCCCATCCACGTTGTTGGTTGCTGCCCCAGGTCCCGCACTATGTAGGTGGAATGCCCCGTCCGTCCGTTCTCAGGATCACGCTTGTTCGGGTTACGTGGTTCGTTCGCCCGTCCCTGCCTGTGTCCCGTCCACGTCGCCGCCTCGGCAAAGCCGACGACCTATGGTGCAATACAGCTTAAGGGGAGGACGCGCCGCTCGATGCTGCGGCGGTCGGTGTTGGCGATGGGGCTTTCCTTCCGGTACGCGGTCCCGGCGGGCCGTGGTACTTCAGTCAGCCGCGCGGAGCTTCCGCACTCACTCCCTAGTCAGTCCGGCGAGTTGGTTGGTGGTTGCTGGCATCATCCCAGCACTGGGGGGTCCTGAGAGCTGTTGGTTGGTGCTCTATTCACAGCACAGTGCGAAACTAGGGTTGCAACCTGGTAAAGAACTCGCTCGCAGTGTGCGCAGATCATGAAAAGAATTTAACGGAAAAAAATACCACCGGCAAAGAATTCGTCAGACACTCCTGTGAGCTGTGTGGTGGCGGCGTGCCGTCCTCCCATCCGCCATCCCTCCCTTGGCTTGTCTATTTTCTTTCTTTCTTTAGAATTTCAGACTAAGGGGCGGTCATGAATAATTTTACAACAAAACGGGCGGTCACAAAGCACGATTCACGCGATAAGCAAGGCGCGGGCGACGGCTTCCTCACATCCTCAGAAGCCGTCGCCCCCACCACAGGAGCAGTCACACTTGGTCTTGGAGCACTTGGAGTGCAGTCATTAACCGCACATCCAGGGCCAGGGAGCTAAGAAGCGCACCCAGCGGGCCGGATGATTGGCATCGGGTTGCGGGCAAGAGAGCCCTAGCCCCGGGGGTGCGCGTTCGCAGGGAAAGGGCCGTAAAGTAAACACGGGTCTCCGAGGGTTGGTTCCGTGTACCGCGGGTTTCCCCTTAACTTCACCGCACGACTCCCACGCATGAAAAGAAATTAGTTGAGGGCATCCTCCCTTGGGCCATGGCTTGAGGTGCACTTGGGTTGTCTATTTTCTTTCTTTTCTTTAGGGATGGTAGGGTCTTAGGGACCATGTGTGTGGGCTGAGCGGGGTGTCTTCAATCCGTCCCCTCACCCCCCTCGTCACAACCCCCGAAACAGAAGAGCGGCGAGAGTTGGGGCTGCGGCTACGGCTGCGGCTACGAGAGCCGGAGAGGCCCGCGCCGGGAGGGATCAAGAAAAAAGAATTTCGCCGCCGAAGCCCGGAAAAGTGTGTTCTTTTTGTGGACTTTGCACGAACCACGATCGATTTTCAGACCGCGAAGTCCTAGACGGTAGTTGCGATAGCCTCTCCCGCGGATGGCCGCGGTGGCCGCTCGAGGCGAGGGATTCGTCCCTTTGCTTAAACCCTCACCCCACCTTGTAGTACAAGTCACAATTCGGGCACGCGCCGGACCGGACGGCCCGCCGCTGCTGGCGCTGCCCCTCCCCCTTCTCGGCATGTACCTCGGCCGCCACCCCGCTCGCTGCATGCGGCACCGTATCCGAACCCCGGCGGCCCATCCCGAGGCTCTCAGAACGAGCCGGAGCTATTGTCAAACACGATCAGCGCAAAGGCGAAGGCCTGAAGCGCCGAGAAGGGCGCCTTGAAGTCCACATTGAACTTGTTCTCCTCCACCTGCGCGGCCGAGGCGGTGGTGGTGGGCGGGCGGGCGGGCGGGCGGCGACGCCAGGCGGGGCGTGCGCAAGCTGGTGGCGGGTGCTGCTGGGCAGGGGCGCTCGTCCGCCTTGCCCATGAGGAACGATACGTCCGCCTGCTCGCCGTGCTTTGGGTGCAGCTGGATGTTTTTGCACGAGGCGAGCGTCGCGCGGCCGTGGAAGTCGAGCTGGTACATGTTGGAGGTGGGGTTCCACTTCGGCTCGCGGTTCTTGAGCTCCATGAGCCCGCCGAGGTCGCCGCGCTTGAGCCGCTCGTTCAGCTGCCCCGCTGCGTCCTTTGGCCGCGCCGGCACCATCCCGCCCTCGCTGTCCACCTCGGGCACCACCACCGTCATG